TTTTCTAACTCGCAACTTGTCTTTTTCAACTCACAGCTCGATTTTTTTAACTCGCAATATTGACTTTTTCAACTCGTATCTCGACATTTCTAACTCGCAATCTTAACTTGTTCAACTCCTATCTCGTAAACTCGGTACTCGAGGAAAACAAACTCCCACAATGCACACATAAATGAGTTTTTTTTTTAAATACTCTTGTAAATTCATTGAATAGTTAACTTTTAGCAAACTGGTTATCCTCTCTCTGATTGAAAAAAGGATGGAGATACCGATGGGGAATCGAAAAAAGACGACTATAATAACAACAGTCTACAAAATAATTCACAGAAAGATGAGGATTTTAAAATCAACACGACCCCAACAAAAACCTGGGATTAACTAAGAATCTCCAGAAGGTTATGTTATCCCTGCTTCGCTGGTGAGATAGCTGCACGAGCATCCATTTAACGTCAAGGGGGGTTATGGTTTTTTGTCCGAGTCAGAATTTTTTTTTTAGTTTTTCGACGCTATCAATCAAATTATTTTTTTCAAAATTTAACACTATAAGGTATTAGGAAAATCTGGATTCAGAATATTTTTTTGTCATCTGCTTGACCACAATATTTTTTTTCCTCAAATTGGGGATCAGAATATTTTTTTAGGAAAAAACAATAACCCCCCCTTTTGAAGTTAAATGGTTGTTCCCTAATCTTTCACAATATCAATCTACCGAACCATTGATTAAGGAGCTGTCATTTCATTTGGCATTTTGAATACGACTACAACTGTAAATAAGTTCGACTTCGAAAAAACATATTTTCACTGTATACAGCTCGCATGTTCCCTTTCTCACTTTTAATTATAGGGAAGTGCCTCTACCTGATAGAGATACGGACAACTATAATTGTGTTATCTACATATAGGAAAGCAAAACAATGGTTGTTGGACTTTCCGTGGCCATGTAAATTTCTTTTACGTTTAAAAGAAAAAAAAATATTAATATGGGAATGAAAAATTGTCCCCACAGTAAAATTTTGCTTGAATTATATTATTTTCAGATGACTTTTGCAATTGTTTACGTGATTGACTTTTTAACGTGTAATTGATCAGAAATTTTGTATTCTGTTCTATAATGTTCACAAGTGTTTGGTATCAATTTTCACCATACAAGAACCAGAAAAAGGTCATTTAATTTTCGCAAAAATATAGAATGTTCATATTTATCCTTTGATTTAACGGAAATCGAAACAATTTTGGACGACCTTGTAAAAAAGTATTGACAAAAATACCAAACTTTAATGTAAATTCAAAAAGGGGGAAGTCCGTAGTTCAAACTCACAAGTCGAAAAAAAACTGCACGACAATACCATGACAAGAAAAGAAAAACTCAGGAAGGGCAACATATCCTGCTCAACCCGTGACACCCGTCGTGTTACTCCTATATTGCATGTTGATCAGTTATATCAAGTGATTAAGCATCATGTAATAGAGGATTGGTAATTGACTCTTATCTAGTCATAAGACATCATCTTATTCATAAACCATCGGTCATGTAAACTCTGAAACATGACCGAATGTGAAATTTTGAAATTGAAAAAAGTTTTTCATAACAAAGGATATACAAACTGTTACTGGTATAAACATCACAGACATTAAAAAAATAAAAATAACAAAGGAAAGCAGTAAAAACTAATGCAGGAGCAACACGAATCCCTCTGAAACAAAACTAGGTGTGATCTCAGGTGTTCCGGAAGAGTAAGCAGATCCTGCTCCACATGTGACAACCGTCCTGTTGCTCATTTAAGCACAAACCCGGTGTCTAATTCGGTAGGTCACAATCAAGGAAAGTGGACGGGATTGTTGTAACCACAATTGGAACATATCTATTGACCCGATGATTCTTTTTTTATGAAACAAGGACTAATTCTTCAATTTGTCTTTTAGTTTGGAATGAGGAATACTTGTGTAAAGGTTAGATAAACATCAAATATTTAATACTATTGCAAGAGGAAAGACACTTAAATTATATGTACTATAAGAGATCTTTTGAGTTTTTTTAGTACCCACGTCTGATTTACGCCACCCCTAGAGTAGGTAGTTTCACAATAACTTTGAAGCCCGGTTTTGATTGCTGATAAAATTGATATTACTAATTTAGTGTTCCTATTGTGAATTGGAATAAGTATAGAATATGTAATACTTCGGCGGGCAGTTGACAACACCCCATGACAGCTTATTTATTTATTTTACAGTCATATATGACAATAGCCATTATTGAAGCCTCGTATTTCAATATGCTTCAATATGCCAGCTTAGGTCCGCTAAATAGACGGAGACAAAGTAAAAGAATTGGATATTCCTGGTCTTTTTATGAAATATGAGGCTATTATGTCTAAGCAGATCACCAAATTAAAAGCGATTGAAAATAGCTTAAAATCGTAATTTTGACAGATTTAAAATTTTTGGAAAATTTAAAGTATTTCCCCAAAATTGTATGAGAAGGAAATCCTTAACCAAGACAAATTCGGTCGGAAGTAAAGCTATATATGTTTTTTTTTGGATACATGCAAATTCAAATTGGTTAACGATGTCCTTCGATGCAAACTTTCATGAAACATCTAAAACTTCCAATGTTGTATAAAAATGCTTTCAACAGCAACATAGAACTGAATAACATTCGGAATTTATGTAATACGCAAAAGCGTTTATATTTTGGACCTACTGGTGAACCAAATACAGGGTAAATAGGTCGAGTTTTTATATTCAATAACAGTTACACTCATCAAACAAACATGTGTAACACCGTGGGTGTCGTTTAAGCAAAGTTGACTTTAGATAAACTAGGTTACTTTTTAGGTATTTTTGGTCATATAGCTCCTATAAATCTTCTACGTAATTATGAATCCCTGGCCTTAAAATCTTTGAGTTTTGAGCGTTCCTGGTGGAGGTTAATCCAGAAAAGCACTTCGGACACACCGCATGAAATATATAGTGTTATTTTTTATTTACTAGCTCAGGGTCGATTGTTACTCCTAGATTTATAACAACTTTTCTAAATTCCCCGTTGATAAGAAATTGTTAAGAAACTTTGATTTAAATTCCCTCAGACAAAGTTTGTCATATATAAAGTTGGCTTTCATTTTAGGTTCCTTTTGGTCATATAGCTCATAATAGTACTACGTATTTGTACATCGTTTAGATTTGAGCGTTCCCGATGAAGGTAAATCAAGAAAAGTGTTTTGGGCGCACGAAATTTATTGAGTGTTATTTTCATTTTAAGCACTAGGATGATATAAATGCTGGCGAACTGTTTGTTCCCGGGTGTAAAATCGTTAGCTGAACAGTCGTTGCTTCGGTGATGACATGATTTAACAACTTCTCTAAAATTCCCAATTGATAAGTCAAGAAATCCTTTCGAAACTCCTGTGTTTACTCCCTAAGGCTAATAAATAAATTTGGCCATTATTTTTGTTTACCTTTTGTTCATATAGCACATAACCATTCTACGTACATATACATCATTGGCTTTCAAATGTCAAGTTTTGATCGCTCCTGGTGTAATTCCAGAAAAGCGCATCGGACGCACAAAATTGATTAAAGTATTATTTTCTTTCATATTTCACAATCGCCGGAGAATTTGCAAAAGGATATGCGTTTTTTACCCCCTCGGTCTTGGTTTTTGCCAAAACGTCCCTATGCGGCGACGCTGGATTATTTATACGCTTATTAATTGCGGTTGTCTTGAAGCAAAAAGGAATAACGGAATTAAAATTTAAATGTTTTGATTACTAGTATCTCTTTTGATATTAGGTATAATTAAACAGTTATAGCATGCTCAGGAGGGATATTTGTGAAAAATACCAGTCTCCGGGAGAAATTTCCTTCGGCTAGCGGCTCCGGAAATTGTATCTTCTATGGGATAGAGCATGTCTAATTGTATTCGGTGGAGAGAGAGAGAGAGAGAGAGAGAGAGAGAGATACCAGTCTTACCTTATTTGTAGATATTTTTGTTTGTCGATTTGATTTTCTTTTTCTCAAAAAGTTCATCGGAAAGTTCCCAAGAACTAATAGATATATATTCAGGGCCTATTTCACAAATAATACAAGGCGGTCTTTAGTTATAGATTCTATGTGTCGAAGTTGTGTCTTTTTATTAACTTGACAGCTTTCCTTTCATTTGTCTTTGTGATATATTATGTTCCTTTTGTTCATATGACTCTCGGCGTAACTCGATTTTTATGCATCCAGTTACCGGGTTTTTTGGCTTTGGGCGTTCCTGGTGCATGTGGGTCCCGAGGTGTGAATAGGACGCAAAAGGTTTTAACAGTGTTGTTTTCATTTTTTTTACCCTTGTATCTATATTTTACTTAATTTGTACTTTATTGAGAAAGTGTATACCATATAACTGTATGTACTATCAAGTACAAAAACTATTTTGTTGGCGTCTTTGTCAAATTTACTATCAACTACATACACTTTCTGTTGGCGTCTTTGTGTGTTTGTTGGATTTTGGTCAGTTGTGTAGTGTGTCTTTGATGCATGTTTACACACTGTGGATACCAACTATTGTCAAATTAACCTATTATGTATGGGTTGCTCACCAATTTTTTTCAATATAACGGAACTATAATCAACTATCATACAAGGCGGAGGTTTAACTTACTATAAAACCAGGTTTAATCCACCATTTTCTTCGGAAAATGCCTGTACCAAATCAGGGTTGGTTGATAAAGTTTAACGTTAGATTATGTTAGTTTTTATGGATTTCCCTTTTTTGAATTTATCTTGGAGTTCTGTATTTTTGTTAAACTTTTTTTCGCTGATCATTTTATGGTTAATGTCATTCGTCTAGACCATACCAACATAAATGGTGTTAAAACGACTGAAAACCGATTGCAGATGTTAAACCATGCTAAAAGGGCTGTTGGTATTGTTAAATATTAGTTATTATATTCATTAAAAAATCAATCTCTAGCAATTCATATAAAATAAACAAAGCAAATTATTACTTTTATGTTGTATCAGATTTATTATACAACATAATTATGTATGAAGACATACATAAATTTGAAAATCAGAACACAAACAATGTAAGATATTAGACAGGGGGTCCTGCAGACAACAAAAACAAAAGATAGTAGTTCAGAAAACAAAAGCAAAAAGACGGGGGGGGGGACAAAAGAAAAAAAGACGGGGGATCAGAAAACAAAAGGAAAAGATGGTGGTTCAGAAAACCAAAGAAATAAGACGGAGTTCGGAAAACAAAAGAAAAAGATAGGGGTTCAGAAAACAAACAAAAACAAAAGTAGTTCTAAGAAAATAGACGGTATTCAGAAAACAATACTAGTAGGTGTACGAAAATTTGCTTGTCGAGCAGAAACTGTAATAGCACTGTGTTCATAAAATGCACTGATATTTCTAATCCTGGCTTTTGTCGATGATGTTTTGTAGTTCCTGTATTGAGGTTGCTATATCTGTCTCGTTTGAATTCGGCATCTTTCTTAATCTGTAAATGTTGTTATACAAATTAAGAAATTATCAATTCACGTGAAAAATGATTTTTGTGTAAATGTGTATAAAATTCAAAATGGTTTTATAAGAGAGTGATTCAGGTAAGTAATATATATCATTTCAGTAGAACTGTAAAATCTTCTGTGTAATGCCAGCGAGACAATAAATTTGATTTACATCAACAAACTTTCGCTTGTAACATAACTTTTAAATGTTCGAATTAGATAGTAATTGATGTTTGAATCAGAAAGTAATTGATTATCGAATTAGAAATAGATGTTCGAATTAGAAAGTAATTGATGTTCGAATTAGAGAGATAAATACATACCTGTCAATAACACTTTGCACTTGACTTATCCACTCGTTTGTTGTCGGATTAGGTGGACATGATGTTGGTGGGCATGATGTAGTATTAAGACCTGTAGTATTAAATGGGACACATTGGTGTATTGTTTTAGTGAAAGATTGAGTCAGAATATTTTGAAAAAGTAAAGCGGAGAAAATTCAATGTTTTCAACAATACCATGTTAAACAATTTATCCATTCATAAATTCTGGCAAATTAATGCAAATAAAGTCCGATGAAATCTATCGACAAGGATTCATCTTCGGACTTTCATAATTGAAAGTTGCACGAATTGTAACATGTTTAGAAAGAGATGGCTTCTCCAAAAGTGGATTCAAGACTCAACGTCTGAAATACAAACTGACACATTCGCTAAAACAAACTTTAAACAAGTAAAACTGTGAGCTACTGCTCACTGATGATACCCCCGCCGAAATATTTCGGTAAACAGGAAGTTGTTGAGTGATGAATCTGAAAACGCATCACACGGTATAGCTGACTTATATAAACCCTGAAACCAAATTTCAGAAATCCTTGTCTAGTAGTTCCTGAGAAAAATGTGACGAAAATTTTCAACTTGGCTATCATTTGTAAAATAATACAAGTGTTCGGTAAACAGGAAGTTGTTGAGTGATGAATCTGAAAACCCATCACACGGTGTAACTTACTTATATAAACCCTGAAACCAAATTTCAGAAATCCTTGTCAAGTAGTTCCTGAGAAAAATGCGACGAAAATATTCATGGGACGGACGGATGGACTAACGGACTGACGGAAGGACAGACAGAGGTAAAACAGTATACCCCCACTTTTTTAAAGCGGGGGTATAATAATGCATTGCACTATAAATATAATTTTTTTTAAAATATAGTTATTTAAACGAATATGATATGCAACAAGTTATACATAAAACGGTTAAGTAACTGTCAACTTATTATATATACGAAATGATTTATAAAATATAGCAATGCTTAAGTTTAACTTTACCTGCATAACCATTTAAAGAAGCTTCAATCTTCATGGCAATTTTCAGCTGGTTTTCATCTGCAATGTATATGAAGACAGTGCTATTTTCGATAATGCACAATTTAATACAGCCCTAAAACATTCCAACACTGATTGTACAAAGTCCAAGTTTTAATACTAGAATGGTCTCTAGAAATTAACAGACTAATCAATATTTGATAATGAATGATTGGTTGATTGGTGATTACCCTACGCCGTATTTGATAATGAAGTAGATAAATAATAAGTTCGGTAATCATTAGATATTACAAAAGCAAGATTGAGCCATTGAGTAGCTAATGGCCCCCTTAGAAATGAGGCTGAATTATTGATTTGCAAGCCAAGTATACATCACAGATGTTTTTGAGCTTATTTTGACAAAACCAAACTTTCTGCTAATAGCGAAATATTATCTCACAATTCCGCTTTTAATGTTTTAAACAAAAACAAAAAAACATATTTTTTTGTCTAAATCGTGGCTAATGCCAATACAATAAAATTTATTTAAAACAAACAATTGCCTTAACAGTAAGTCCATATGTATTTTAAATTCGCTTGGTTGTACCGTCTCTGAAAAGGCCGCTCTGAAAAGCTGTATTAATTTCTGTCAAACACGACCATTTTCATATTATATAACCGAACACAGAGCTATCCTTCCTACATATATGTTAATTTTTATCATCAATTACCAAGCATGTCTTTAAACAGCATAGCACGTGCACTTGTGCTTCCATTTCCAATGACATTGAGATACTCTCTGATACCGTCTATAATGCCCTCTATATACTGATCAAATTCTAATGTCATTTGGTATTCCACATTCGTGTTCAGTATTTGTGAAGGATAATGATTTCGAAACAACTCTTGCAAGATGCTAATAAATTCTTTTGAAAGTTCATAAGTAAACATTTTGTTATCATATCTGTAAAGAGACAATTTACATGTATTTGATAACCATAGGTGAAACTATTTTTAATTTGAATAAAATATTTCATATTAAAGCTGAATTTTTAAATTGAACTAACTTTCAGTAACTGTTCTTATTTCGATGCTTTGTGTCTGTTGTTTTTTTCTCGTATCGATCTTTTGAGTTAAGCCAATTGCCACTGATTTTTAGAGTTTGTTCTTATGTTGTGCTGTAACACCACCGTCATGGTTTCATATTTTTCATGTCGGGGCTTTTTATAGCCGACTATCCGATATGGTATTCTCTCATTGTTGAAGGCCATACGGTTGCCAATAATTGCTTACATCCACTTCATTTGAACTTTGGTGGATAGTTGTCTCATTGGCAATCATATCACATCTCCTTATTTTTATATGTACTAATATATTAAGGAGTTTTGTATACCTATATTTTGTACAGGTTTATAATATAATAAACCTTATTTTGTTTCTATTATGAAAACGGGTTCATCTGAAATCTATGCAAATTATTGACATGCATAAACATATGGAGATATAGTATGATTGACAATATCAACTTTCCACCAGAAACGGTTATCGTAAGGCCTCCAACAATTAACAAACCCAAACCCCATACCGCTTAGTCAGCTATAAAAGGACCCTGCATGACATAATGTGAAACAATTCAAAACAGAAAACCAACAGCCTGATATAAGCAAAAAAACAAATAAACAAGAAACAAATAGTTCAGAGAGAAACCAACCACTGAATTGCATGCTCCGGACTTATGACAGTCGAATAAACAATGAGGCAATGTAAAACATGTTTGTGAGCACTCAAGCACAGATAAAAATCCTTATAAAAAGACACAAATACAAGATACAAGGTATGGATCTTATAGTAATAAATTTGAAAGTTTTGAATAAACTTACTGTAAATGTACTGTAACTAACTAGTTGAAAACCAATTCAAACTGGTTATAAAGAAATCATGCTTTCCCTGGACTTCAAAATTAAACACTAAACATCCAATATATTGTGTGTAAAGACGTCAAAAAATGCCTGAGAAAAGCATAACATTATGCATTGCCAACATACGTATGGACAAGATGTAGGATCAAAAATTTTCATAAACGCATAGCCATACATATTTCGTTATGTTTTAATTTATCAACAAGACAGCACACGCTGAAATGTCTCGCCTGCTTTACTGATCATTGATTTTATGTTGATAGTCCTAAATATAAAACTTTACTACAACTTCAAGTATCACATAAACTTAACATGATCCAAGAAAATGAGGTCAAGGTCAGATACAGAAATACATGTACACCTTACAATCCTTCCATACACCAAATGTAGTTGACCTATTGTTTATAGTTTTTAAGAAACAAACTTAACCAGGAAAACTTTACACTGACCAATGAACCATGAAAATGAGGTCAAGGTCAGATAAATCATGCCAGAAAGACATGTACACCTTACAATCAATCTATGCATTAAATATAGTTGACCTATTGCTTATAAACTTAACCATGAAAACTTAAAATTGACCAATGAACCATGAAAATAAGGTCAAGGTCGGATCATACCTGCCAGACAAATATATACACCTTACAATCATTTCATACACCAAATATAGTTGACCTATTGCTAATAGTATCTAAGAAACAAACTTAATCATGCAAATTTAACATTGTTCAATGAACCATGAGAATGAGGTCAAGGTGACCTGCCAGACAGACATATACTCTTTACAATCATTCCATACACCAAATATAGTTGACTTATTGCTTATAGTTTAAGAAAAACAGAACAAAACACAAAAACTTAACACTGAGCAATGAACCGTGAAAATGAGGTCAAGGTCAAACAAAACCTGCCTGACTGACATGTACATCGTAAAGTATTTCCATACACCAAATAAAGTTGACCTATTGCATACAGCATTTTAAAAAAAAGACCAAGACACAAAAACTTAACATTAACCACTGAACCATGAAAATGAGGTCAAGGTCTGATGACACCTGCTAATTGGACATGTACACCTTATAATCATTCTATACACCAAATAAAGTAGACCTGTTGCTTATAGTTTAAGAAAAACATAACACTGAGCAATGAACTATGAAAATGAGGTCAAGGTCAAATAAAACCTGCGAGACTGACATGTACATCGTAAAATAATTCCATACACCAAATATAGTTGACCTATTGCATATAGTATTATAAAAAAGACTAAAACACAAAAACCTAACTTTAACCACTGAACCATGAAAATGAGGTCAAGGTCAGATGACACCTGTCAGTTGGACATGTACACCTTATAATCATTCCATACACCAAATATAGTAGACCTATTGCTTATAGTATCTGATATATGGACTTGACCACGAAAACTTAGCCTTGTTCACTGATCCATGAAATGAGGTCGAGGTCAGATGAAAACTGTCTGACAGGCATGTGGACCTTGCAAGGTACGCATATACTAAATATAGGTATCATATTACTCATAATAAGAGAGAAATTAACATTACAAAAAATCGAATTTTTTTTCAAGTAGTCGCTGAACCATGAAAATGAGGTCAAGGACAGATGAAAACTTCATTACATAAGGCATCTATATACATAGTATGAAGCATCTAGGTCTTCCACCTTCTAAAATATATAACTTTTAATTAGTAAGTTAACGCCGCCGCCGCCGGATCACTCACTATGTCTGGCTTTCTGCAACAGAAGTCGCAGGCTCGACAAAAACTGAATGAATGTTAGTACCGATGAAGACAACTTTCAAAGATCATACTACAGTGTTAATTAATAACTTCATTAAATTAACATGGATTGTGTCGAAGTTTACTGGCACTCGAAACAACGCCACCGATAAAATCTCGTTTGTTACAAGGTTTCTACATGAACAGTCAAACTTTCAAACCAAATCTGTTTTATCTGCAATGTTCCTGTAAGATCTTTATAAAGGTCATGCATGGTGTTTTTGTAGCTTAAACTGCATTAAAATGAAGAACACTCTTCTTGAAAATCCATTAAACTTCATTTAATCACTGGTGTTAAACTGATAATCGTAACTGGAATTACGACGATCCCAATATGGCGACGGCAGAAATAGGTAAAATCTTTTCAGTCATTTTTCTCAAATGTAGCCCGTTGTTGTCAAGAGTTACTCAGCTGCAAGGTTTTTCTATACCATTACATCATATTTGAATCGTAACGGTGCACTATAATTGTCTAAGCGCTTAGAAAATTGCCGTCCAAAAATTCGGGATGATAATCGTAATTCAATGGCATTTTTCTTGTTTGATAATCGTAATTTCTTTATGGGATAATAGTAACTGAAAAATAGTAAATGTGTCTTCCAGCTTGTCATTGGTATTTTGTGTGTAAAAACGGCAATGTCCAGTTAAACGATGACATTAACGCGCAAAATAAAAAATAATGAAGCAACTTACAGGTTAATATTTAGGACAAATTTACTTACATGTATAACTGACAACAATATGCATAACCTTTTAATATATACATGTACCTGTTAAAGATATGGAAAATGAAGCAGCTGTCGAGTCAGTTATTGTGGTAAATAGATAATTTAAATTCTTTCAAAGTTTCAATGTTGTTTTCGCGTTTAGGTTTTTTTTGGAAGTATGGAAGAGGGGGGGGGGAGGGTAATAGCATTATCCCATATCCCAAAAGTGCAATCAAATGAAAGTCCCGTAAACCACATTCCAATATGCCATATATATGTTTTGCCTCAAATATTGCGTATATCCAATCGACTTTTAAATCAATAAAAAGGGCAAGTTAACCTCCCCTATCTCAATATTCCCTATACCACGGGGGTGGCTGTGGGTTACTTCCTATATAAATATATAAGTTATAACATGGATCAGATTTTTGGTCTTCTAATATTTTTTTTTAATTTCAGCAGCACGCCAGAAGTGACACCACCCCTTCCCCCGTGCCTTATACAGAACTCATTTATCATAAGATCGCTGTCAGTTTTGAGTTCCCTGTTGTTTATATTCGGGGATGGGTCCACAAATTATGTAAAAGGGAAATGGGGGGGGGGGGGGGTGCTATAAACTGAACGTTTATACTAAATTTCTGCGAGAAATGAACAAAATTTTCCATCAGTTACTTAACTGCATTATTGGACTTAACAGTTGATACTTTGATTGGTGGATATGAGTTTTCATTTTGCCCTTTTCCTTACATTTCAATAGAAAAACATATAGTTTAATTTTGGAGTGAAATTATCCCAGTTATAATAGCCGTTCATATTTTTCAAGTGAATTCACTTTTATTCTGTTTTACACTGATATTTTATATGATTTTAAAAATTAAATTCAAATATTATGATTAAATACCCATGTATTTTAGGACGTTTCTTTAAACAGGGTGGATGGTAAAGGATCTAGAGTAGTTACCAGTTTATTGTTACTATTGTTTATTATTACTTGTGTTTATTGTTACTTGTGTTTATTGTTACTTGTGTATATTGTTCCTTGTGTTTATTGTTACTTGTGTTTATTGTTCCTTATGTTTATTGTTCCTTGTGTTTATTGTTCCATGTGTTTATTGTTACTTGTGTTTATTGTTACTTGTGTTTATTGTTTTTATTAGCCTTAACTAAATGGCGCGTATAGTCTTGCGACGCATTTGAAGGACTGAAAAAAAACACAAATATATTATATATATGTGTATTGGTGCATAATATGATATATACTAGTATGTAGCTGTTTACATTAGAACTGTTAATCATATATGCACAAAAAGAAATGTCATAAGATGTGGGAACGTTTTCTTGATTAATTCATCACCTTATTTTCATCATATGCTATTAGATAGACGTTTTTCGTGTCAATACCAATCAAACACTATCCAGTTACGATTATCTTCTTATTTATTAATACCGAAATTACGATTATCATTTTTGTGAGTTACGATTATCATCCCGAATTTTTGGACGGCAATTTTCTAAGCGCTTAGACAATTATAGTGCACCGTTACGATTCAAATATGATGTAATGGTATAGAAAAACCTTGCAGCTGAGTAACTCTTGACATCAACGGGCTACATTTGAGAAAAATGACTGAAAAGATTTTACCTATTTCTGCCGTCGCCATATTGGGATCGTCGTAATTCCAGTTACGATTATCAGTTTAACACCAGTGTTTAATGCAAGATGAGCAAAGGGCTTCATAATCTGGCGCGTTCACAAAAATTGGTGACGGACAGACAGACAACGCGAATAGTATAGGGCTCCCAAATCCTCGATGCGGGGCCCTTAAAATTTAATACAGGTAATTATGTGTAGTTATACAGACCGATCAGACGGCGATACAGGGAAAGTAGTTATACAGACCGATCAGACGGCGATACAGGGGAAGTAATGCAAATCACATTATCGCCAATTAATGCAGCTTATATAAAATAAAACTTAAAATGTCAACCGCTTATAACTTTATACTTACTCTTTAAGAAACTGTCGAAATATCTGCCTTTGGTTTTCATATAAGTCTTTGGCGGGTGTACAACGGAATGCTTGGCTGTTTATAACTACCGTATTATTGAACATTTGAAATAAATCTCTTTCAGAGGGGAATTTTCCAGTTTTTATCAGATGTTCCATTCCTTTCATGTAAATACTTTCCAGTATACCTCGTAAGTCTGTAACATATGTAATATTGAATGAATTTTCAAGTGAATAATCATACATTCAATAAAAGTAATTGTCAGTCTTTATCAAACATTTATCTTTTATGCCAGAATTAAGACATTTCAAATTTTTTTTACATGAATATTGCTGCGTTTTCTATTGGAATTTTTCTTCTACTTGCAGACGAGATTTAACTCAAATTTGCTTTATATACAGTCGGACAAAAGTAAAGCACCACCGATTTTAATTTCTTAAATATTTTGTTCAAAAATAATTAATAAAAAACCGAGTCTCACATCTAAAAATTGTAAACGAAAGGTGACTGACCGATACACGTAATTTTTTTATTGAATCAGGTTTGAAACCATAGTTTTCTGATCAGTGGATAGAAACTTAAGTGTTCTGATCAGTGGATAGAATCTTAGTTTTATTTTTGTTTTTGGCGAACCAGCAATTCTATATTAGCTGTTGCACATATAGAAACATACTGATCAAGCATGTTTTTCAATTATAATGGCGTTATCTGTTCCATAATAACAGTTGTTACTCTTTCAAAAGGCGATTTTTAAAAGTGTATGGTCCACCATTAACCAAACAACTTTTTGTTCATTTTACAGTTAAATAGATATATTCAGACTTCGTCCTCATTGAAGAATTTAGATATTTCATTCAAAACTTTATTGTCAAATAAATAACCAATAAATTGTGACAAAATAAACAAAACACACAATAACAAATGCGCAATATGATAAATGATAAGATTGATTAATTGATTGATGTTTGCCTAACATTCAGTGATACATGTTAATGCTAAGAAGCAAGCAGGTCTGTTTTTTTTTTTTGTTGATGGGCAGAGAATATATATGTATTCAACTACAAAAGAAATGTACCAACTCTATTCATTTTTTTGGAATACAAACTAACGCTATAACCTTTAAAAATGTGATTGAAATGATTAAAAAACTTGAAATACTATTTCTGGAGTCATAAGCATTAAATTCTGTGAAAAAAATTTCAGTTTTTACTTCTCGAAAAACACATTTTCAACCAAAAAAACGAAAAATGTAGCCAACTTTGTCACGTCTTAAACAAAAACTTCTGTAATTTCGTGGATAAATTTTTGAAGTTTATACTTTTAAAAAGCATACTAGAACTTTACAAATCATCAGAAAATTAGAAATTATGAAACTACTTTAAATGGGAAGAAGTGGTGCGATATTTGTGTTGTTGATTATATTTTAAAAAATATCCTCAAATCATTAAAGGGGCATCAGCTACGACTTAGACAATTTTTTTTAAATACGATTCTTTTTCTTTCAAGTGTTAATAAATGCTAACGCAATGGGTAGATGACAACAACATATAAGCCGACGAGTAGAATGGTTTCCATTAAAATCGAAGCACTATAGATCATTTATCTTCTCTTTAAAACCATAATTTATGTCAGAAAAAGCTTCGTAAATCTACTTTTTGTGCTTTATGGAGTTTAAAAAGGCCTATGATACCATCAATGGAAATATATAAAAGTAAGGAGATGTGGTATGATTGCCAATGAGACAACTATCCACCAAAGTTCAAATGAAGTGGATGTAAGTAATTATAGGCAACCGTACGGCCTTCAACAATGAGAAAAACACATACCGTATGGTCGGCAATATACTTTGGTCAAAGCTAAATGGACAAGGTGTTGCAGAAAATTTTTGTGCTGCTATAGTCTATTTATTAATTGTAATTCAGTACGATTAAATGGCCATTTATCAGAATGGTTCAATGTCAACAATGGCCATAAACAAGGATGTCAATTATCACCAATGCTAATTAATCTTTATCTAAATGACCTAGTTTCGTTCTTGAAATCAAATGAATAAGGTATCGATATCAATGATGAAAAGGTTTGTATTTTACTTTATGCTGGTGATGTGGTTATTCTAGCAAATGTTGAAAAAGAATTACAAACTCTGTTAAACGCATTATATACATGGTTTGGAGATAATTGTATGACTATTAATTCCAAAAATTGTAATATTGTGCATTTTAGAACACCTTCTGTTAAAGGGGCATTAGCTGTCAAATTCATGTTCACCGATTTGATTCAAACTCTCATATTTGATTTATAACATACTAAAACGTATATCCAAATAATAAAAAGTCTAAAATAAACAATTTACGATGCAAGGACTCGATCATATGCATCAGATTTTCGTGTGTATTTTAGTCTAGATGCCATCTAATTAACCATCGAGGTGACCTCCGAAGACTGCCGATGGTCATATCTCCCGATATAAACATAAAAATAGATATAAATAGATAGCGAACTCGTGCAATTAGATTTTTCTAGGTCTGTTTGATTTCATATTATAGGTTTAAAAAATATGCTAATAATCGTTTTTACCTGTATAAGAATGGGTTTTTGTAGATCGAATTAGTCAACCAATTGGTTTACCCTTATTTCACTTCCAATGTTGACATTCTTTTCTTTTTAAAAGCTGAACACGCCTAGTTCATGCGTAACCAATCTCTAGCTAAGGGGTTCAATTGAAGTTCACATGAGTACGGATTAAATGAGGTCGAATTATTCACTTGCAAGTGAATATAATTCATTAGCGATGTTTCTTTGCTTATTTTGACAAAACTGAACCAAACTGGCTGCTAAAAGTGAATTATTATATCACCATTTCACTTTCATTTATGATTGACCAAAAAGAAATCATATTCTATTTTTATGCCCCACCTACGATAGTAGAGGGGCATTATGTTTTTCGGTCTGCGCGTCCGTTCGTCCGTCCGTCTGACCCGCTTCAGGTTAAAGTTTTTGGTTGGTCAAGGTAGTTTTTGATGAAGTTGAAGTCCAATCAACTTAAAACTTTGTACACATGTTCCCTATGATATGATCTTTCTAATTTTAATGCCAAATTAGTTTTTTGATCCCAATTTCACGGTCCACTGAACATAGAAAATGATAGTGCGAGTGGGACATCCGTGTACTATGGACACATTCTTGTTTTCTATATCTCGTAGCTAATGCCCCTTTAATAAGTCACATGTTGTATTTAAATGTGGAAATAGTATCCTTGAATACTCTACTACTTATACCTATTTATGTCTAGATTTAAGTGAATTTTTAAATTATAATATAACTGCTAAAGCTGTTGCAGCATTTGCAAATAGAGCACTTGGTCTTGTTATAGCTAAGTGCAAAATCTTAGTTGGGGTTACTCATAATGTCTTTTCAAAACCATATGAAAGTTTGGTGCTCCCAATTGTTGAATATGGTGCTGGTATGTGGGGTTGCAAAAACTGTTCATACATAATAGAGCTTGCAGATTTTTTTTTGAAGTTGGTAAACATACTCCAAATGCTGCAGTTGCAGGGGATATGGGGTGGATACCTATCTTTCAAAAACAATGACAATGTTTAATTTTACTATAGTGCCATTTAAACAATATGAGTTATAATTGGTTAAGCAGAAAGGTTTTCATATGGGCAGACATTATGAGTAAAAAACACAAATGTATTAAAAATTGGAATTTTTATGTAAGGAAAACATTTTCTGGGTACAATGTAGAATATTTGTGTAACATAACAGAATATATTGATAGTACCTCAGTTGTTAATATTATTATGTCTAAAATGTTAAATAAATATGTTGATCAGTGGCTATACAATTTACAGTTAGAGAAAGCTTTATCTGGTAAAGGTGGCAACAAACTTAGAACATGTGATTTATTTAAGAACAGTTTTGAAACTGAAACATATTGTACAATTCCAATGCCATTTACACAAAGAGGTTCGTTTGCCAAAGTATGATGTGGAGTGGCACCTTTATGAATTGAAACGGGGAGATTTGAAAAAAATTCTTTAAGAGGAGCGAGTCTGTGATAATTGTCAAGATATTTTAAAAGACGTAGCCCATGTTATTTTATCGTGTCCATTATATGACGATTTAAGAAAAAAATATTTGATGAAGCAAAACATTTTATTAGTGAGTTTATGTCTTTTGATGACAAAATAGTGTTTAGCTATTAAAAGGAAAGAATGTCAACATTTAAAGTGAAACAAGGGTAACCATTTTGTTGACTGACAGACTTAGAAAAATCTAATTGCAAGTGCTCCCTATCTAATTGTATTTATATATATGTTTGTATCGGGTTATATGACCGTCGGCAGTCTTCCAAGGTGTTTAGATGGCGTCTAGACTTAAAATACACACGAAATGCTGATACATATATTATAGTTCATGCATTGTTAAATGTTTATATATATATATATATATGACTTTTTGTAATTTGTATATACGTTTTAGTATGTTCTAAATCAAATATGAGAATTGGAGTCAAATCGTTGAACATGAATTTGGCAGTTAATGCCCCTTTAAAGTCTTCTTTAGAACTTTCCTTGTTTAGTTGTCAAATTTAAAGCTAGGTTAATGGTTGAGTTTTTCTTGCAATATAAAAGAAAATGTTACTCATCTTCAATTGTATTGAAGGATAGGCCTAATCGGGTTTTTTTTTCGAAATTTTTAGGGGTCTTTCTTTTTCGATCAATAGGTTCTTTAAATTATGATCACTTAATCTGATATTATTGATATTACGTCCATTTTCAAATTTGTTTGAATTTAAATGTTTCTATCATATTTTCTATTTTGGTTTGTAATTTATGTTATTATACTTTGCATTGATATATATATATATCAAGAAAGCTAAAAGAAAATCATTTACATTTACTCAACTTTAATTCTTAATAAATGCAAATACAAATCTATAAACCTGCACTGGAGTAGAGCATGTTGTTATTTCTAGAAACACGTGTCATGCGCTCTGAAATTTATATGGTATTAATTATACAAGAGAATAAAACTAGAGGCTTCAAGATGTCTGTATCATTTGAAGACATGCCTTATTTGTGTTTCTTCTTTTCAAATAGAGCATACAATTAGTACTATATATACTTGCTTATGCAGTTAAGGATACATGACGATGATGTTGATTTAATTGTGTTTAACGTTTAGTCGCAAATATCACAGGCATATCAAAACGAAAACATGTTAATGAAATATAAATGTGAACCATATTATAGCTATTTTATAGCTTTGTGGGCCGTGTTTTATTTACTTACATGGAAACTCGCGAACCTGTATTTTCGGAACTATCTCACCATATATCTCGCTGTGCACAGAATCAATAGAACTTCGGATGAACTGTTCATTATATGGAATTTGCTTTTCCCAAAACTTAAACGTTTCAGAGAGACGATTAAACAGAGAATCACTACTATTACGGAAGGCGTCTTCTAAACCTAACTTCATTAAATCTGAAATATAATAAATCTTATTACAAAGGATATGATAACATTTATGAAATACGACAACAACAACAAACAAGGGTACAAGTCACATGAAAATCGTTCTTATCATTTATTGTACATGTGTACACTAAAGCCTTTCTGAATTAAATATCATAGAAATTCTTGCATGATCGACACAAATATATAACTAAAATTGCATTCAGTAATAAAATAATTGCTACTTACATGTTGTAAGCTGTTGAAATTTTGTTGCTGGGCAAACCATCCGTTTGGTAATTACATAATTCGCCAAATTCTGTGTTAACTGCAAAAAGGCTAAACGTCCATTACCCGAAACTTTGTATGTTCTTATTGCTCGACCTGCAATTGGTCTGAATGCAGACATATTCACAGACATGTTCCCTAAAACATTGTTTTAGAAATAGTATGCTTTCGTGATTATCATTTTATCCTAAACTATGCATAGAATATAATGTAAGTACTGGAATTCCAATTAAATTGGTTGTCATTTTACATAGAATATATGAATCTACGAATAAGTTTTTAGAGCTGATAGATTAATAACTTGAATAGTGTTTGGACCGATGTATTACATTTACTTTTACTTTAATACTTGAAAAAGAAGGCATTTTATCTATAAACTGAACACACGACAAATGTTTTTTAAGTTCCTTAATGTTGCAATCTCTCAATATTAATCGTGTGAATAACTTTATTTGGACGGGAAGATTTTAAAATGTAAAGTTCGGTGTTTATTGACTATAATAAATCAACATAGAAGGATTATGAATGATAAAGACGTGCACAAGGGCATTAGAATATGAAAGAGTTGGGAGTTTTAGCTCACCTATGTGAGTGAGCTTATGCCATCACTTGGCGTCCGTCTTCGTCGTAAACTATTTCAAGAATCTTCTCCTCTGAAACTACTGGGCCAAATACTTTCAAACTTTAACTGAATGTTCCTTAGGGTATCTAGTTTATAAATTGTATCCGAAGTTTTGATCCATCAACAAACATGGCCGCCATGGCTAAAAATAGAACATAGGGGTCAAATGCAGTTTTTGGCTTATATCTCAAAAACTAAAGCATTTAGAGCAAATCTGACAGGGTTAAAAATGTTCAATAGGTCAAGATCTATCAGCCCTGAAATTTTCAGACGAACCGAACAACCCATTGTTGGGTTGCCGCCACTAAATTGGTAATTTTAAGGAAATTTTGCACTTTTTTGTTATTATCTTGAATATTACTGAAGATAAAAATAACTGTAAACAGAAAAAATGTTCAACAAAAAAGTTAATATGACCAAAATTGTCAATTGACCCCTTAAGGAGTTATTGCCTTTTAAAGACAATTTTACAGTTTGTTCATCATGTTTGCTAACATTTAAAAATCTTCTTCTCTGAAACTACTGGGCCTAATACTTCTAAACTTTAACTGAATGTTCCTTAGGGTAACTGGTTTATAATTGTATCCGAAGTTTTGATCCATTAACAAACATGGCCGCCATGGCTAAAAATAGAATATAGGGGTCAAATGCAGTTTTTGGCTTTTATCTCAAAAACTATAGCAGTTAGAGCAAAAATGAAAGTGATGAATAAGTCAAAATCTATCTGCTATGAAATTTTCAGACCAATTGGACCACCCATTGTAGGGTTACTGTCCTAAATAGTTTATTTTTATGAAATTTTACTGTTTTATGTTATTATCTTTAATATTATAATAGATGGAGAGAAAGTGTAAATGGCAAAAATGTTCAGCTAAGTAGGATCTAAAAATAAGTCAAATGATCAAAATAGTCAATTGACTCCTTAAGGAGATATTGCCCTTGAAACGTTTATTCGTTACATTTTTTCGTGCAAGTCTTTTACTTTTTCAAAAATCTTCTTCTTTTAAACTACTGGGCCAAATACTTCCAAACTTTAACTGAATGTTCCTTATGGTATCTAGTTTGTAAACTGTATCCGAAGTTTTGATCATTCAACAAACATGGCGGCCATAGCTAAAATGACCCCTTAAGGAGTTAATTGCCCTTAAAACGTTTTTTTTTAACATTTTTTGTGAAAGTCTAATTACTTTTTCAAAAATCTTCTTCTCTAAAACTACTTGGCCAAATACTAAAAAACTATAAAAACTATAATTGAATGTTCCTATGGGTATCTAGTTTATATATTGTATTTGGGGATTTGATCCATTCAAAAACATGGCGGCAGTTTCTAAAAATAGAACATAGGGGTCAAATGAAGTTTTTGGCTTTCATCTCAAAAACTAAAGCAGTAAGAGCAAAACTGACATAGGTGAAAATGATAAACAGGTTTAGGTCTACCTGTCAAGTAATCTTCTAATCAGACCAATAGGACAACTTATTGTTGGGTTACTGTCCAGAAATAGTTAATTTTTATGAAATTTTACAGTTTTACAGTAAGATCTTCAAATAAGTCCAATGCCTGAAACTGAAATCATGAAATTACAGGTGAGCGATATCAGGCTCTTATGCGCCTCTTGTTTTGTGTCGCGATCAAGATTTGTCTGTGTATTATAATTGCAGTTTTAGATTTAAATAAACAGAGAATTTGGGTTTACAAGACAAAAATGCTTTAATTTTTCACTTTAAGGCGGAAAGGGGCTTAATCCTTGAAGCCTACCATCATTAATAGATAGAGGATTCAGGCGCTTATTCCGTCTACATAACACTCATCAGCGGTGCACGAATCAAGAAAGAAAACCAAAACCAAATTAATTACGAAGTTGAAGGACACTGATAACCAACATTTTCATAACGTTGTGCTTAAGGTGGTACCCAACACCATGACTAATATTAATTTGGCTCGTTTAATTTTCCTAAAATTTTGACAAAATGTTTACTTTGACCCTTTGACAAAAATAAAAAAAAATCAAATAATTTGAACCAATCACTTTATCAGAAAAATTTCACTGGTTATATAGCAGTTTGACAAACACTAATTTTGATCATTGAGAAGCTTAATATTTCCTTAACAATACAACGTGATTAAAACGTTTAGTTGATTTTTACAGAGTTATCTCCCTGTAGTGTTAGGTACCACCTTAATGTGCTAGAGCCATCTATGCCTGGGAGTAGAAAAACTAAATTAGTTTTTTTAGTAAAATAACTCTGTACTTTATGCTCAAAATTCTTACAACAGACCGGAAAAAAAACATTTCTATTAAAAAGTCGATACAAGCTCTAGATACTGTGATTTCAATTTAGTAACGTTTGTTTGTTTCAGAAATGTTTGGATCAATTTAACTTAGCCAGAAATAATTTGTATTCATTTCCAAACTCGGCAAATTGGACGTCGAGACAGGCATTATAAGTACGAGATGAGATTTATAACGAAAAGTGTCCCAAAAAAAAAAAAGAATAAAAAAAATCAAATAAAGTCAATTTAACCTTACAGTTGGAACCTACGTTTTAAAAAAGCCCTAATCAGAGAATTTATCCAATTTAGGACGGATGTTCCCTTCCGAGTTCATCAGAATTAATATTAACCAAATAGTGGTAAGAGAAAGTCGATTTTGTTACGTTTGCTGCACGCTTCTGGGTTTAACATCATCGTTTACGCTCAGAGCTGGAAACATTTGTTAATGGGGATCTTCTATAAAATGGCAAAGGAGGAGGTATGAAAGGAGTTCTTTATATTTGGACCGCGAAATTGCAAAAAAAAATGAAATTAGTCAGACCTTTTAAATTTATCTTAATTTTATTGATAAATGAACTGGTTGATATAATCATGACATTTTGGCACAGAAAGGTCACTTGTGATGTCATAATCATATTGAATTTGACATATTTTAACCATTTATTAACCATTTTGGGTAAAGCTGTTGCTTATGTTTAAATATCGGTAACAATATGTCAAACTAAAGGATCATAAAGGCTATAATTCTCAATTTTATATATTGCAGTTTATGCAGTTTTGCCGCCCAAGTCCAAGAATTTTGAAGCCCTAATGCAAATATGCAGACAAAAAATCAAAAAATATGAATAATGATGTCTGACAGACTCATGTCTAATGAAAATCTGATTGGTGCTTTTTTTGTTTTTGTAGATTTATACTTTTGATTTTTTGAATTCAAGGGTAAAAAAGTGGCCTCATCATACCTTCTCTTTTTGCCGCTTTCGAGTATTTTGATAAAACTGTCTATGATTGATTGATTGTTGGCTGCTTAACGCCCAGTGGCAAATTGTTCATGCATATTCAGGACGATAGATAAAACTGTCTAGTTTGTCGCGCAAGAAAGTAACTACAAAAAACGTATTTAAATTTACGATGTTTTTGTTTAAGTAACTCATAATTTAGGAATTCAAGTTAAATTTGCCACAGGGGTAAAACTTGACGACTTACATGACATGTCAGTAATCTGTGGAAAACCCTGAAATAAGTCAATCAAAACATTTTTTAATGTCGGACATCTAAATTCTTCATATTTCATGTAATCCTTATCCAATGCATCCACTTCATCACTTTTGTTCGAACCCACTTTTTCTTGACGTGCATCTACCTCATCGTAATTTTGGTTGCGATTCGGTCCATGTCGTTCGTCGAGATATTCTTCTGAATAAGAAATACGGCGGTATGGACCTTGGCGTTTAACTTCCGTGTCATACTGATTAACAGGATGTCGGCGGTGAAGGTATTCAGAGGGTGGTATATCATGTCTAGTATCAGGATGTCGGCTGTGAAGGTATTCAGCGGGTGGTATACTATGTCTATTATCAGGATGTCGGCGATGAAGGTTTTCCGCGGGTGCTACATGTCTACTATCAGGATTTCTGCGATTAAGGTAATCCTTGATTGGTTTATTGTGTCTAAGATAAAAGGTGTTTTCTCTGAAGTTTTGTCCTTCTGGTACCTCAGCAGTCGTCTCTATCTGTTTTTGTTGACGTCGTTCCGAGGGAAACGGGTTGCGTTTCTGGAGAGCCGATTCTAAACGTTTCAGCAAGCTATTAAGCTTTTCATCAGTATGGGCAAATGCTGTTCAAAAGAAAAAATGATGTTAAACACTGAATAGTCACGTTCATTTACTTGTGAATCATACAGTTGAAGTACATGTTTCATAAGATGACATAAAATATGTCACAGGGAAATGCAACATCCATGAATGCATTTTTCTTTTATTGTTTTTAGATAACATCAAATGACGTTTCCGTGAGCATCCTATTTACTAGGGTACCAGCGACAGTCCAGCAAAGGATAAAATACAAAACATACAGTTTTTTTCTAGATCCACAAGAAGTCTTTCGTATTTCACTTGACCCAAATATTTTGCTTTCTTGGTGATAATTTTTATTGATTGATTGTTATTTTTTTTTGTTTCACGTCCAGTAGAAACTATTTCATGCATATTCGGAACGAGAACAAGTGAATACAATAGTTAGGTTATGCAAAACTGGGTTCAGGTTAAATAGTATGATGGAAAGACCACCTATGAATCCCAAAGAAAATCCTTACAAGGGTTCTTTAACTTGCAGAGATCGTGACACTCACTTTAAGCGAGGGATGGTTACTCATCTTTTTTGGAACTAATCTCCAATTGACGCGTTGACCCCAACATATTTAAACTTTTCCGGTCGCACATGTTTGTAATCCGAGTCATCTCGGACATAATTGTCAAATTATTTAAAGGGGCATTAAGTACGATTTAGACAAAATAAAACTGTGAACAGAGATATATCTCGCCTTTTTGTTATTTTGATAGTAAAATGCAAATGTTGAAATTAAAAAAGCAATACTATGCAAAATATTCAAAGTCAATGAACCTTGACTGAAGGTACAAGGCCAAACAATATCCATGGAAGTGAGATGTGCCAATGCTAATACATATGCATACCAAATATTATTTACCTATCACTAGTGGTTCCCTTTAAACTGACCTTATCACAAACTTACACATGTAAACAAAGCAAAAGTTTCAAAGTCAATAGACCACGACTGAGGGAGAGGGGCTAAATTATCACCATGGAAATGTAATGTGCCAATGCTTATAGAAGTGCATACCAAATATCATTGACCTACCACTAGTAGTTAACCATAAACTGACCTATTAAAGCTCCGTGTTGAAGACCGTACTTTGACCTATAATGGTTTAATTTTATAAATTTTGACTTGGATGGAGAGTTGTCTCATTGGCACTCATACCACATCTTCTTATATCTACTAATCACAAACTTGTACATGTAAACTATGTAAAAGTTACAAAGTGAATAGACAATGAATGAGGGGCGGTGCCAAATAATCTCCATGGAAATGAGATGTGCCAATGTTAATACAACTGCATACCAAATATCCCTGACCTACCACTAGTGGTTCCCTATAAACTGACCTCATCACAAACAAATACATGTAAACTATGCAAAAGTTTCAAAGTCAATAGACCACGACTGAGGGGGCAGGGCCAAATAATCCATCCATGTCCAGTGCACAATGTTAAAACAATATTGTCGACATCGCGATATTTACAATGTTAACACGATATCGTGTCAACATCGTTTACATTGTATGAACTCTTATATATTCGTTGACATCGTTAACATTGCGAAATATACAATGTTGTAAAGATATCGTGTTTACATCGTTTACATCGCGATATCAACAATGTTAACACTATATTGTGTCAACATCGTTTACATTGTAACAACTGTTGTATACTGTTTACATCGTTTACATCGTATACATCGATGTATACGATGTAGTAACGATGTAGTGTTTACATCGTTAACATTGCGATATTAACAATGTTAACAAGATATATTGTCAACATCGTTTACACTGTAACAACTCTTATATACTGTTTACATCGTTGACATCGTTAACATTACGATATATACAAAGCATTATCAATATCGTGTTTACATCGTTTGCATTGTGGTATGCACGATATGGTGTCAATATTATTTTTAATGTTTGAAATGTAATAAAATGTTTACATCGTTTACATCGATATATTACAATTTTTGTAATTGGATAACAACACGGAGATGTCAGTATATATTCAGAAAACTGCCGGATATACTACATTTTTTATCTCAATTGGAACATCAACAACGTCATCATAGCAAACGTTACTATGTGACGTAGTTTTAAGCTATACAATACACTTAAAGAATGTAAGAGGCTCTCAAAGGGAAAAATAATGACGTGTATTCGTCAATAATATGTTTTTAATTTATAACCACGCTATTTACAAATTCAATACTTAAGTAATTTCTTAAAGTGCTATTACTAATTATTGCATATATGATAGGATTATTTTCACAGCAAATTATAAAATCCTTCACATATGCGGAAAATATCAAGTTGGTTTTTCAGTATTGATTGTTGTTAAAAAAAAATACAAACGGTATACATGAAATCTAAAAACTTTATTGAAAAATATTAATAAAGAAAAAGAAAAAGAAAAATATTTGAAAAAAATGGAAAACTTGTATTTACAGAATTTCACAAAATATCAAGAAATAATAAGCATGTACTGAATATATATACTGCGTGGTGAATGTTTAACAAATACCTGGTATTGGAAAAAAAAGGGACAGGGATAATCAGTAATATATGTGTAATTCATGTTTCAGACATGGTATATAATGTGACATTCCCGGCTTAGGGTTTATACGTTGTGAACGATGTAAACCGAAAGGTATATACTTTATATACAAGAATAAACACGATGTTGACATGATATTGTTAATATCACGATGTATACGATGTGAACGATGTAAACCGACAGGTATATACTTTATATACAACATAAACACGATGTTGACACGATATTGTTTATATCACGATGTATACGTTGTGAACGATGTAAACCGAAAGGTATATACTTTATATACAACATAAACACGATGTTGACACGATATTGTTAATATCACGATGTATACGATGTGAACGATGTAAACCGAAAGGTATATACTTTATATACAACATAAACACGATGTTGACACGATATTGTTAATATCACGATGTATACGATGTGAACGATGTAAACCAAAAGGTATATACTTTATATACAACATAAACACGATGTTGACACGATATTGTTAATATAACGATGTATACGATGTGAACGATGTAAACCGAAAGGTATATACTTTTATACAACATAAACACGATGTTGACACGATATTGTTAATATCACGATGTATACGATGTGAACGATGTAAACCGAAAGGTATATACATCATATACAATATAAACACGATGTTGACACGATATTGTTAATATCACGATGTATACGATGTGAACGATGTAAACAGAAAGGTATAGACTCTATATACAACATAAACACGATGTTGACACGATATTGTTAACATTGCGATGTATACGATGTGAACGATGTAAACAAAACGGTATAGACTCTATATACAACATAAACACGATGTTGACACGATATTGTTAATATCACGATGTATACGATGTAAACGATGTAAACAAAAAGGTATAGACTCTATATACAACATTAACACGATGTTTACACGATATTGTTAACATTGCGATGTATACGATGTGAACGATGTAAACACAAAGGTATAGACTTGTTACACAACGTTAATACGATGTGAACGATGTAAACACGATATTGTCAACTTTACGATGTATACGATGTGAACGATATAAACAGAAAGGTATAGACTCTATATACAACATAAACACGATGTTGACACGATATTGTCAACATCACGATGTATACAATGTGAACGATGTAAACAGAAAGGTATAGACTCTATATACAACATAAACACGATGTTGAAACGATATTGTCAACATCACGATGTATACGATGTGAACGATGTAAACACAAAGGTACACAACATATATATATATATATATAGATAGGATACAATGTAAACACAATAATGACACGATTAAGTAGACATTGCGATGTTGACAATATCGACAAAACATCGTGCACTGGACATACTTCAAATAATCTCCATGGAAATGAGATGTGCCAATGCTAATACAACTGCATATCAAATATCATTGACCTACCACTGGTGGCTCCCGAAAAACTGACCTAATCACAAACTAATACATTATTGACGCCGACAACTCCTGAAACAGCATACATATGTCTCGCTTTTTGACTCCGTCAAGGCGAGACAAAAATCAAAATATCATTTTTGTTTCAAATACTTATAAAAGTGGAAAATTGAAATAATATTTAAGTCGCTTTGTTTCAATTTTGTCATAATAAGCTCAAAAGAATCGCTGATGTATTATTGGTTTGACAAAATTGAACCAAACTGATTACAAATCGAGAAATATTATTTTAATATCCTCTCTAAAAAACGTTTGAAACAACAACAAAAAAATCATAATTTAATTTTATATCTAAATCGTAGCTAATGCCCCTTTAATGTGAAGAAACATAATGTATCTTGTGCCATAAGGTTCAAATTTGTCTTTACTGTTGAAGACGGTACAATAACTTTTTAATGCCTTTAATTACAGAAACTAGTTTTTATATTTTTGTCAATTCGTTACCTTTATAACATTTTCTGCTAATTGAATGAAGATATATTCTCCTTAAAGGGGGGGGGGTGGGGATCCAGTCTACAAGTATACGTGCGTCCAAATAGATTTACTGAGTTTTTACTTTTGGCAAATTTTCTGTGGTTTTTTATTTCCTTTAGAAAAAAGAAATGTATTTTGATTTGAATGAAAATTTTCTTTCCTTGCCACAGATGGTATAAATATAAAACTTAGTTGGGTAAAATCTTTGAGATGTCCCCTGCAGGTAACATACACAATAGAGGACAGTAGTTTATATATCTGCACAACTATTAGTGATTTAAATAGTATAGCTGAGTGGATTGTATAAAAAAAAAAAACTCGGGTTTTTGAATTTTTACTTCTACTATGGCAAGGGGAGAAAATGCTCATCTAATCCAGAAATTAATTTCTTAAACTTTTTTACATCTAGATGCTGCCCGGCTTTACACTTTCAGCAGTTGTAAAGTTGTCTGTATTCAGAGAGAATTCTGTGGTATAAAAGCATCCATCTTTGTCAAATAGTAATGATGAATCTTAAAAACAAAATATATCTCTCTGAAACGCACAATGCATTTAACTTCTATATATCGAATGAATGCTAGGCTTTAAAACTTTTCCAACCTTCACAGGTTTGTTTGTACTCGAAGTAAATTTTGAGGTGTAAACAACAATTTTTCATTTTGCTCATTTGTTATGATGATTTTTGGAAATTATGATATCTGTAATGGTTTGCTTATTTTTGATAATAGTAAATTTCTTTGTCTAAAAAATTTATAAACAGTGACAAATCCATACAAATATAGGTCTACTGGACTAGACACATTTTCAAGACATTTGTCAGTTTTATAACTACTATGGTGGTCTGTTTGTGAAACAATTAGTGGCATTTTATGCATTAGTTTTTTGATATTTGATAAAGATAATAAATAAATAAATAATAAAGCTTTACAGACCTGTCAAAAATAAACAAGCAAATATCCCTAATGGCAAATACATCTTTATCTGAGAGACGTTACCAAATTTCTGAAAGAACAGCCCCCGCCTTCAAACATACACGTGATACAGGGAGTAATCAAACACAACGAGCACGTGACATTTAGGACGAAACAAAAATGTTGACTATTATTTATACATAATTGGTGTGTTATACTTTTTCGTGAAAACAAGTCTTGTTTACAGTAAGTTGGTATAAACCTTTGTTTTTCCAGCTTTTTGGAAAATAAGTTTATGTACGATAAAGATGTCATAGACGTCAAAAGAACCTTATCTAGTAGTAGTAGGCCAAAATTGATATACAAAATGTTAAGTGATAGTCTCGTCTCAAACTGTCAAAATGCTTGACTGGTTTTATTACAATTCAATGAAAGCTAATCCTGATTAATTTCAAGCCTTGGCAATTAGTAGAAACTCTTTTAATCATGATATTGTCTTTACCTTTAGAGGAAATAGAATAGAGTGTGAAAATGATGTTAAGCCACTTGGAGTTAAACCAGTCAGGATTCTACTTCGTTAAAATTATCTCCCCATTACGCCAGTTAATTTTTACAATCGTAAAAATGGAAGCCATTGTAGGGATGACGCGCGGCCAATTTAGCTCTTGAAAACCGACTAATTTATCCACATAGCACCATTACGATCCTTATATGCCAGTTGCATTTTAAAAGACAAATGTATCTACTAGCTATTGAACATCATTTAATGTACTTTTCTGCATTCAGTCAACTTAAAAACTATTGTCTGATCGGTTGTCAGGTGGAATTTTCGAAAGTTCAAAAACATTTTAAAAAAATCTAATTAAATATTTCGTGGAAGGGCAGACTAAAAATTTCAGAGGTTGAAGACTAATAACCCTAGATAATACACACAAACAATGAAGTTTTTTTAAGTTATGCATTTTTAAGATCCAGTTGTAAAGTCTGTCGTCAAGTACTTTTAGTAAAAATTTGTTATTCGTACTCACCTACTCTGTTGTTATGACTCATTAGAAAAGTATTTCACTTGATCCATATATTTCATTCTTTAGTCCTGTGAATTTTTAATGTTATTAAATCAACCTGTAGCCTAAATATATAAAATAATAGAATCTGAGGCGAGATGATGTATCAAATATATTTGCTTTATAGGTTTCCAAGACAATAGTCAACTCAAACACGCCCGAACATAAAAAGGTGCACTCGACTTTCTCTTTTCGATGCAATTATTGCCCATTTTTTTATTGTTTCCCAAAAAACTGTCAACGGGGGCAGAGATGCAAATTAATGCTTTAGAAAGATCAATCTATTATCTTTCTGTGGAATTTTTTTCGGTGGAATTTATGCTTATGCACAAAAAAGATCCACTTGGATTTGAACCTGCCACAAAGTGACAATCTTATGAAAATTTGTCCATAATTTAAAAGTTTACAAATATCTCGAAGCTCCATACTATAATTCAAGTAAAAACACATATATAAGATGCATAAAATCTAAATTATGCATCTTTATTAAACTTTTAAAGCCCATGGAAACAGATGTAAACACTTCAAATATACCAATTTTGCCTTTTTTCACCTCTAACAAAGAGCTCCATTTCTTGTGTTTAATTTCAACTGGGTTTCCGCCTGAAACTAGGTTAGAGGTTGAATTTCGAAAATAAACATATATCTGAGATTTGTAAGAAGGCCTCGTCATCTCAATCTTATTAAACGTATTGGTAGATATCTGAATCGACTTGATCGTCACAATTTATTATCCTTTTATTTTGTCTAATCTTGATTACTGCCAAGTCACATGGCATTTTTTTAGTGAAAAAAAAAACAGACTCAAGTTGAAAAAAAAATCCTAGAGTGAGCCTTGAGATTTGATTTTGAAGATGATGAATATCTAATACATAAGTGAAAATGTCAATCTCTTAAAGTCAGAAGAATACGAGCAAGAGCTGTAGACACTTTTAGAATTACAAACAAAGAGACCATCATATTAACATGATTTGTTTAATTTTAAAAATCACATATATTCGTTTAGATATAGAAATACCGCTGAACAGCCAAAGGTAAAACGAAAAGCTATAGAATCAATTTCTTTCGCTTCATAGCTGCAAAAGACTAGGATGAACTACACCAGAGTTTTAGAGAAGAAAACAATTTCAATTCATTCTAAACTTATTGTTACCTGGAATGGTAGATCGTGTCAATGCAATGCTTGCAAATATCTAATGCTTTAATGTATAGTGTGTGCTAGAACTGCTCATGTGTTTTAAACTTTTAATTTTATGTGCTCTAAATGATGATTGATTACTGCATCACAAATACTTCTACATAGTATATCATAATGACCTTTTTCATGTCATTCTGGAGAACCCGAGATCACCCCTGTTTTTTTGGTAGGGTTCGAGTTGCTCAGTCTAGTTTTCTATGTTGTGTTTTGTATGATGTTGTTTGTCTTTTGATCGTTTTTTTTGCCATCGCATTGTCAGTTTGTTTCTGACTTATGAGTTTGAATATCCCTTTGATATCTTTCGCCTCTCTTTGAATTATATATTTTTTATTTAACGTAACAATATCTTTATTGCATATTTGCTGTAACAATTTACTAAGTTTACAGCTTTTACCTTAGGATCCCTCATGTTAGTTTACCTAATACTAATAGTTAAGGGAAGCACTATTTGGTAAGATATAACTTCTTCATAATATTAGTAATTTATAATATAACTCGTTCTACAAATGTATTTGATAAATTATTGTGATTACACATACATATCTTTGTTGTCCCTTTGTTTTGTTTTGTTTTTTGTTTTTTTTATATATATCTTAGTTTTCCGGAATCAACTCCGTTATCGATGTGATCCGGATCACATTGAATTATATTATAGTATATATAAATATGTATGCTTCACGTCATGATTTGCTTTGATAATGTAGTTCATATGTGATTGTTATATAGATATAAGAAGATGTGGTATGAGTGTCAATGAGACAACTCTCCATTCAAGTCACAATTTGTAAAAGTAAACCATTATAGGTCAAAGTACGGCCTTCAACACCGAGCATTGGCTCACACCGAACAGCAAGCTATAAAGGGCCCCAAAAATGACGTGTAAAACCATTCAAACAGCTTGCTTTGTTTTCAACGTGCATGTTTTAATGTTTTGTTTGTAATACGATGATATAAAACTAAAAGCCCAATAGAGCTTATGTTTTATGTATATAGTACTATTCGTCTATAATTAAAGCTTTTGAACTTTGACCCATAGCGTTTTCCCATAAACAAATATTGTAATTTTTATCAGCAGAACTAGCTTTTACAAAATACAAGAACATTTGAAACTGTATTACCAAGCAGTTGTTTCTGTCTCTGTTATATACGCCTGCCCTTCGTTATATCGAGAAAAATTATCGTAAAAGAGTATGTAACGTGGTCAATTATTGCGACCTGATCGTGAAAGAATAAATAACGGTGATCAAGTATTGCGATGTGATCGTTAAAGATCTAGTATCGGGGCGTGAACTGTGAAAAAATCCGTTGTTTTGTCAAAAAGCGTTTCGAAAGCTGCATAATTATCGAGTATGTTGTTCCGAACTTCCCTGATGTAGCTGCATACATATATGAATACTAACATGTTCCAGTGATTTTAATGCGAATAGAAAAAATAAACTGAGGGGTTGGTACACTAGCAATTTATTCGCCTTTGTAGAAACATTTCAAACCACTTTTACACAAAACTACTACAGCCTGCTTTTCTCATCGTTGCTATATTAAGAGGGAAATGGTAACATTATATGGTCATTTTTTTTTTATTTCAATTTCAATTTATTATTACTATTTACCAGAACGTTTTCGTGAGAATATATAATCAATATCGTCCTTATGGAGAACGTGCAAAAATTTGAAGAGATCAAGTTTTCAGTGTTTGTATAGGGGAGGTAATTTTTTGCCACTAAATTTCCCACTGGTATTAATGACATTTGCGTGGAGCATACAGAGTATGTAAGTAACATGCCACATGCATACAGAATAACATAGCTGTCTTTGGTTTATAACAAATCATTTATATTGTTCAACTGCATCGACGTGATATACAATGATAAAAAAATAACGTACATAAAAATGTCTTTTAAAAGATGAATACATTATCACATATGAAATTTGTCTTTCTATCAATCAGTTGAACTGAAAAATTATAAATATAATAAAGATATGACAAACTATTTTCAAAAATAAGATAACACAATTCTGTTTAAAATAAGTGTAAACATGGACTACTGTACAATAACAGTTGTAGAAAAACCTAACGTTAATGTTTTTAGTCACGTTGTTCGATATATTACACATAGATATATTACACATAGATATATTACACATAGATATATTACACATAGATAAAAAAAATCATCAAAGTTACAAGGCTTATAATTGTGTACGCATGACGTGTGTTTTGTCTACAAAAGACTCATCAGTGACGCTCGAATCAAAAAAGTTAATATGCCAAATAAAGTGCCAAGTTAAACTGAATGAAACCGAATCACGTACCAAAATAAAAAGTAAAATAACAAAAATACCGAACTCCAAGGAAAATTCAAAACGGAAAGTCCTTTATCAAATGGCAAAATCCAAATTTCCCTCAATATCGGACAACATCAAGTAAAATCACCATAAAGATAATTGACTTTACTTGCTCAAAAAGGATCAGACACAAGTTTCCTAAACTTATGTATTGAATCACCTCGATGGTATTGTTGTATAAGTGCCTTGAATGCACGAATTCGAAGGGCTGTGAACTATAACCTGATCTAACCTAGTGAACTAGTACGTAAAACACGACTAAGGCTTTAGGTCAAGTACCACGAAAGTTTATAACATCTTCTCGTTCTTAATAAGTATACAATATGTGCCACTGGACGTTAAATAGTCTAGTCATCCTTACATACAGATTACAACCATTATATACAGGTTAAATTACAAAAGTATGCTTGGCATAATAATAGCTACAATCAAACATAGTGTGATTAACATCATATAATACTCCTAAAATGTTAAGTTATACTTTAAACATAAAAAAAGGCAGATGATGCTAGCTGAATGGTAAATAATTTGAAACACCGGTAAAATTTGGCAAGATTGTTTTGGGCGTTTTATTTCAGAATTCTAAACACTTCATATTAATTGATTTGCGTTTGACCAATATTATACTGTCAGTGGTTCTTCGATACACTACCACTATACAATTATTAACCAGTTCTGGAGAAATATAATACTGCACAGAATAAACTTTGTGTTAAACGGACATCAAGTTGTTTGTTGACTATCAAGTGAACAAATATGTGCATTTCTATTCTAGCAAATATCATTCTGTAATTTCAACATATTAACGTTACTAAATAAAGTTACAAATATCATTTGACATTTGAAACCAGTGTATCAATTCGTTTACAAAAATAAATAATGTAAAATGAAGCATACCAGATCATGCAAGTGTCAAAGGCCATGCAATATTTGTATCGATCACAAAGGTGATGACAGAGTTTTTGTTGGTTTAAGCCTTGTATATATATTTCAGTTCTGCATGAAATTTATTACTCAGTATTGGTTTATAATCTATAGCGAACTCAAGTCAAGCTACGTTCCCAAAACTCTCAATGTAATAATTTGTACAAACATTCCAATTAAACATATACATGACGTCACAGACAAGCATATGATTGGGTCTACAACTCGGCTTCTCCAGTAGGATTTCGTACATAACATTAGCAGCATACTGCGCACTGAAAAAAATACAGTACAATAATTGATTGGTCTCACAGATGTTCAAAAGTAAAAAAATAAAAATACCGAACTCCAAGGAAAATTCAAAATGGAAAGTCCCTTATCAAATTGCAAAATCAAAAGCTCAAATACATTAAACGAATGGAAAACAACTGTCATACATATTTCTGACTGTTCAAAATACAGTCAAAATCTTTCAATGGATACTCTTTTTTTTCTAGATGAAAAAGACATAATTTTTAAATCTTTATATGAACACAAGTCGATTTGTTTTATATTGAAGGATACTGCGATGACGAGTGAACCGATGTGCTTAAAAACTTAGTTGTTGGAAATTTGTAGAATGGTGATAAGGACTACCAGTAACACCATAAAAATTGATGTATGGATACAACGAGGATTAACATATGTTAAATAAATCAGTGTAACAAGTTATTTAATAAAATCTCCTCGATAGATATAAAAGGAAAATATGCAGTGGTATCTGTATTTCAAATAACGCTTTTTAATTTAAAAATTGTAATTGTGGTTTTGAAATCATTTTAAACTAATGTGGTTACCAAAGCTTAAACAGATGGTAGATAAAAGTCAATTGTTGAAAACTGTATGTTGACCTCTTAGTGAGACTAGATATCTATTGGTTAGTTGTGTCGTTGGGTTGCTGTCTCATTAACCATGCAACATCTGATTTCATTAATGAATATTGACGTTAGTCGTACTTGAAGAGTTACTTTTCTTTTGTTCTCGACTCGCCAGTTATCTCATCGTAAATGTTATCAAGGAATATTAATTCATTTTAACACTTAAACTATATTGTATTTTTTTTTTCTTTCATTGACGTTCATTTAATATTATAATGTCTATATAAGTGCTCCTTTGCGACAACACAAAAAAACTCGAAATCTTCAAAAGCAACTTTTCAAGGCGAACCCATTCTTAATTTTTAAACAAAAATAGGAGAAAATCGCTTACATCAATAAGAAGGCGGATGCTCCATATGTCCTTTTCTAAGCAAAATATGGATAAAAACTAACGTATTACTGACATATTTGCAAAGAGGAGGGTTCTTACACGTGTAGTCACAATCTGTAAGAACTATGCTCTTAATATCTGACAAATTGAAATAGCACCGACTACGAGTACCGCTATTTAGATGATAGGTAACCATTTCAGATACTGAAATGTGGTAATGTGTGCCTGTTTTGTTACCACTGTTGGCAATATCATTCAAAAGAAAAACATATGAAAATGGCTCTTGTATACTTTGAATGATACATGGAAGTTGGGAGGTTGACCACTAATGTACTAGAAACTGTAAAAGTATGTCAATCTTTTGGGGACTGACATTTTACAGTTCAAAAGCAAACACTTCAAGCTTCAAATATCATTTACATAAAAACCATTTTGACTATGCATTGCCTTTTATAAGAAACCGTTTGGACAAGAATCTGTTATATTTTCATACTGAGTCATTAGAATGAAATAACAATCGCTTCAAAACCAATGACAACTGGCATGAACGTTGCTAACATCTATGTCAATTGGTCTCTGGTGGATAGTTGTCTCATTGGCAATCATACCACATCTCCTTGGTCTCTGGTGGATAGTTGTCTCATTGGCAATCATACCACATCTCCTTGGTCTCTAGTGGATAGTTGTCTCATAGGCAATCATACCACATCTCCTTGGTCTCTAGTGGATAGTTGTCTCATTGGCAATCACACCACATCTCCTTGGTCTCTAGTGGATAGTTGTCTCATTGGCAATCATACCACATCTCCTTGGTCTCTGGTGGATAGTTGTCTCATTGGCAATCATACCACATCTCCTTGGTCTCTAGTGGATAGTTGTCTCATTGGCAATCATACCACATCTCCATGGTCTCTAGTGGATAGTTGTCTCATTGGCAATCATACCACATCTCCTTGGTCTCTAGTGGATAGTTGTCTCATTGGCAATCATACCACATCTCCTTGGTCTCTAGTGGATAGTTGTCTCATTGGCAATCATACCACATCTCCTTGGTCTCTAGTGGATAGTTGTCTCATTGGCAATCATACCACATCTCCTTGGTCTCTAGTGGATAGTTGTCTCATTGGCAATCATACCACATCTCCTTGGTCTCTAGTGGATAGTTGTCTCATTGGCAATCATACCACATCTCCTTGGTCTCTAGTGGATAGTTGTCTCATAGGCAATCATACTACATCTCCTTGGTCTCTGGTGGATAGTTGTCTCATTGGCAATCATACCACATCTCCTTGGTCTCTGGTGGATAGTTGTCTCATTGGCAATCATACCACATCTTTTTATTTTTATATTAATAGTACATTACCTTGTTTGTTAGACAACATTGTAATAATTTTCTGTCTTTGGCCATTGTTCACAAAATGAAGTTCTAGAGCATTGTCTATAGACACGTCCACGAAATAGTTTTGTAATCCCATGTATTTCTCTGCTGACGTCTGAAACAAAAGTAAGCCTAAAGCATTGGCGATATAAATTAAAAACATCAACGAAAACAATTTTGTTATCGCATGTACTTCGCTACCGATGTCTGAAAATATAGTATTAACAAATATTTAATTGAAATGTATTATAGAAAATAAAAGGGTATGGAGTAAATGTTCATGGGACAAAATCGCACACAACACTTAGAAAAAATAAAAAATTATCAATGAACAGGGCTTTTATTCCTGTTCTTCATCTTGACAGTTGATGTAGGGTCTTCAACAATGAACGAATCGTTCATACCCTACAATAAGGTCAGGACGGCCCCTAGCGTCGACTTAAGCGGTACTATTGATAAAAATAAACCAGTATGTTTGAAAGCGATATACCCCCTAAAAACTACAAACATATTCCAAATCGGTCCACAACATTTTGTTAACGGTTATCGTATGGCAAATTAAAGCTATCTCTAGGGGAACTAGACGCTGAAAAGGGTTTAGATGCAACACAGAAGAAACTGCTTTAGTCAAAGGATTTGACAATGATTAAACTTTCAGTAACGGTGAAACTGTCTTCACTCCAACATTTGTATATGTGTTGTCATATGCAAACGTAGTGACCGTGTTAACACTGCAGAAAAAAACAGACATAGGAGAGATCGTTTTGCAGATCACTGGCCTTCTATTTCTAACGAAAAAAAGAATAACTACTTGGTAATTTTTGCCGTCAGTCATGTTCAAGCATCAAATACACGAGGACAACCGTGTTTCTAGAGACAGACGCAATTTCTAGCAAAGACAAATTTTTGGAAAAACGAAATGTTTTTCATAACTTATATTCTTCATTTTTGTGTTAACTGTTTAGTTAGATTAAAATGTCTGGTATTGAAGACAGATTTAGGTTGGACAAATATTGTGTCGAGTTCATTAACACATAAAAAAGAAGTCTTTATTAAGTGTTCAATCTATCTGAAAATCTACATACCTCAGTTACAAACCAAGCTCTTCGGAACTTTTTCCTATTTTTCGTCACAGCATAGAGAGCAATTATATGATATATGAGGATGATACAGAGGACGATAGCATTAGCTATGTTTATGACTTTATTCTCACAGTAACATGCTATCTACAAAAAGAATCATTAACATAAAACAATTTGTGGACATAAAAGTATGCATTTGGTCGTGTTCTTTCGACCGACTCGAGAACCATCTTAGGTTTTCTTTAAAATGACTAAGAAACGAAGATTAAATACTCACAGATAGCGTTCTAATATATTGTAGATATTTTAGTGACGGAAATGAATATCTTCATTAATAAATGAATGTTGACAACAGGGATGCATGGTCTTGTTACTTTCTAAATTTTAGGGAAATTTCACACCGTTTGATTGTAAACAAGGAAACAAGTAGAACAACAATTTTTCAAATCTTTTGTTGTGGGTAAGTAGCACATATTTTCTTTCTGTACTGTTCATGATGTTGCTGTATAAAATCGTATCGGAAGTACAACGGCCAATATTAGGCATATATTTTTTATCAGTAGATTGCGTTCTTTGAGCTGACTGCCTTGTTTGGCGTTGTAGTATTGTCGTAATTATACCCACATTTTATCGTTTGTTATATACTGTTGGTATAGAGTTTTATTAAACAAAATAAGGAGATGTGGTATGATTGCCAATGAGACAACTATCCATGAAAGTTTAAATAAAATGGATGTAAGCAATTATAGGCAACCGTACGGCCTTCAACAATGAGAAAAACCCATACCGTATAGTCGGCTATAAAAGGCCCCGACATGAAAAATATGAAACAATTCAATTGAGAAAACAAACAGCCTAATTTATAACAAATGAATTAACGAAAAACAAATATGGTAGACATGAAACAACGACAACCACTGAACTACAGGCTCCTGACTTGGGACAGGCACATAAAGAATGTGGCGGGGTTAAACATGTTTGACAACAGTATTGTAACTATATCCCTACTTAAAATAAGTCTGTGTAAAGGTTTGGGTAGTTTTTGAGGTGAATGACGACATTTTTGTGCTTTGTATAGAATATTACAATAAACAAGAGCTGTCAAAATGACAGTAAACCGGATTCTTTAACATTTATTTGTGTTCTGGCATTAATCAATATCACAAGGACCAAAACTCCTAATAGGTAAAATTTATGATCATCAATATCAAACTTGACTTCCATGTTGTCAACAATAACAACATATAAACTAGATAGAAAATGACCCTCTAGCAGGACAAACTGTGTGCCCTTAATGCATAAAGTAAAAAAAAATTACTAAGTCCACCTACCTAGGATTTTGAAAATATCTAAAAAAACAAATGAATGAATTGTATGGTTTTCAAATGGAAAGGCAAAAATCAAGCTTGACCTGTTTGACCATCTAGTTATCATAAGTGACATCATTTTGAAATATTAGAGAGCATATAAGTACACACACGTTTGTTCAGCAGGGGTGGGTAGGCAGAAATCATGAAGTCAAACAAGGAAGAGATACGTTTATGAGACTTAAACCTTATAAAATATGAAACCATAGTATCTTGTGGTCACTCCAATAACTTTCTAGGCTCCCACTTTCAAACTGTTGTTGTCTTGTAATATAGGCATGGTCAATGGAAGAATGATTGTCTGTGGTTTCATCGATATGAGCTTGGCCTAAATTAAGTGCATGCATAGTACTCTGAAGTTTTTTCAACTGCGTAGTTTGTTTGAATTGGTCAATATTGATATCTCCAAGAAGAACTGTGTAATGATTGGGTGTCACAACAGAATGTATTGTATCACAAATGCTGTCCACATTGGTTGATGGATGACAGTATATTGATGTCAGACAATAGTGTTTTTCAGATAATGACACTATCAACTGTATTCCCTCTATCCCTTCTTCCTCAATGAATTCTATTGAATCAACCTGTAGTCCTTCTTTTACATATGCAAAGATGCCACAATGAGGTCTGTGTAAATGTATTGCATGTGGGTAAAAGTCAATGAGATTAAAACCATTCAGCATATAATGATCTAATGAATCTGACTTTTTAGCCCAAGTTTCTTGTATAAATATTACATCATTCTGATATATACGATCATCATTTCTATAGTCGTCTATGTGTTTGTGTAATGATCTTGCATTATGGCATAAGATAGCAAGTTTTGGCTTTGCAAGTGGCAATTGACTGTAAACAATCTGTTTCTCATTTCTAAGTCGGGATATCTCAATTTTGACATTCTTGTCAATTGTGATCTTGTCCTTGTTGAAGTCGAGAAGATGGAGACCCTGTAGTGAGGTAACTCGACTTAATGCCACACATACCATGTGACTTTGGATGCGTCCTTTGAAGGAAACAGCAGCATTAGAAAGTGAAATTCCTTGACATTTGTGTACTGTTGATGCTGCAGCTGGTTTCAATGGGAACTGTTTGCGAACGATTTGAACATTTTTGTATTTTCCTACTTGAAATTGTCTGGTTATGAAATGTATTGGTGTCCAATTAGGACTAATAGTCCTTTGTATAGTGATTTGCTTTTTTTCCTTTGTGTCGCACCAATGTCTTTGTCCAGAAAAACAACCCACAAAAGTATCGGTTTATTGTTTGATATGTCAATATGCACAAGTTGGCAGGAAGCTCCATTGGTTAGACCATCTTTTATATCTACATTTTGAATCATCATGTAGTTTGCAGAAACTTTCAAAGGTAATTCTGAGAGCAAGTTTTGAGTTTTTTGTGGTTGAAGAGTCTTAGATATGTTTAATATAGAGTCTCTGACATTTGTTGTTACATCTCCAATTACATAATCAGAGGCCTGAGCAACATATAAATGACCCTCTATCTTTGATAATGAATATACATTGTGCTCATCAACAAGTGCATTAGAACTGAACAAATGTATGTAATTGTCTATATTAGATTCCCTAGGTGATGAAACAAGTCTTGTGGATAATGTGAGAATGTCATTTTCTGTTTGTATCCCTTCTCGGACTCTATTGAGTATATGTGCAAATTGAGCATCATCTCTCTGACGCATAACAGTCTTCAGTTCATAAAATGTAACCAAATCTTGCCAAAAATTAGTTGCTAGTTGTCCATAATCTGCTGTTGACAATGAAAAAATCCACTGATCTAGAACAGGGCGTAACTGAAAAAGATCACCAACTAAAAGCAGTGATATACCACCAAAGGGCTCTTTTGATCCAAAGATATCTTGGAGTCGGTTACTTAGGAAATTAAACATTTGAATGCCAACCATGGACACCTCATCTATAATAAGGACTTTTAACTTAGCAAAATGACATCTCAGAGTGTTCAAAGTGCTGTGGTCTAATGGTATATAAGTTTTCAAAGACTGGCTAGCAGGAATGTGGAAAATCGAATGCAGCGTATTACCTTTAATGTTGTATGCAGCTTTGCCTGTTGGCGCTCCTATAACTACCTTTATCTCATCTGGATTTTCACCTGCAGTGTCAAAATATCGCAATAAGGCTTGATAAATAGCTTTCAACACATGACTTTTACCCACCCCTGCACCACCGGATAAGAAAACATAATAGGGTTCATCATTTGTTTTAGTTGTATTCAGAATGTAGTAAAAGAAACATTTTTGCTCTGGATTTAAAGAACGAACTAGTTCCAAATATTCTTGGTCTGATAGCTTATTTGCTATAACAATTTCAGTGGCTTTTTTGCACTATTAGAGCACCCAATATCTTGTCCTATGTCATAATGTGTACAGGAACTATCTGCAGGCTGGAGTATAGATTCCATGTCTTGTCTGAGCTGTTCTGAATCATCCTCTGTTTGTCTTGCATTTGGAGCAATATCATCTATTTCATCATTGACTATCTGTTGGTTGGCATCTTCGAAAATTTCTTCAATGCTTTCATCTGAGGTAAAGGCGTCAAACATCGCCTTAAATGAAATAATGTGAGCTTCATGTATTTTAAACTCATCTTCATAAGTGGTACTTTGTCCTGTGAGAGCATTTTCCTCTCTCCATGGAAAAAAGAGCGTTAATTGCTCTCGATAGTATAACTCTGGATCTTTTTTAAGACTATATCTCACTGAACGTATTACCTTTGGGACCCTTCTCTTGACCAGCCAACTTCCATCAGGCAAATGAATTTTCATACCTGCAACTATCTCCTCCACATTATTGTCTACTCCATCTATTTGATCAACTGTGTCAGAGATACCATTTTTCCTGTCAACTTGTTTTTCAAAAGAAGATGCAAATTGTGACATTATAATATTTTCCATCGAAGGTGGACGTTCTGAGTACCTATCAAGGAGTCCAGCACAAATTACTTCTGTAGATTCATCAGGGAGTGTTTTGAGCACAGATGCTGGCTTCAAATACCAATACGCTTCTCTGGTGTAGAGGTGTTAATGAAAATGACATCTCTAGAACTCTGTGTCAAAGGAAGTTGGAGCAGCAGATATATTGCTTCTTGTGCAGAAACTTCACAGTGATTCAAGAACTTGTTAGAAATAACTCTCATTTTCTCCCTTACACTGAAGTTTCCTCTTTTCACTTCATCCACTGCATTTTGCAAAAGCATACTCATACCTCTTTGAGATTTCATAATATAGCTAGCTATATATATATGCACACAGCATACGGGTCAATAACAAACTGGAGATCTGTGTTTGCTTGCCATATTCTTAATACTTGAAGATTGTAAGAGTTAATTCTGACATCATTCACAGCTCTCTTCAAGAACACCTTTTTCTTTGACAATGATGAACGAATAGCATCTATATACTGTTGGTTATTTAATTTACATTTAGTAAGGAAAGTTTGAAAGGTCATATCCTCATCACCTGTCAGGGTTTCTAATACTCTACTAATTTTTTTGTAATTGCCCTTATGCTTGAGAATTTCTGTTTTTGAATGATCTGCAGGAAATGGTTCTAAAATCAAGGTTTCTGCCATGGGAGGAATAGGAAATCCAAAGCGACATACACGCTTGCCTTTCTTTTTGCATGATTTGGAATGTCGATGTTTTTGCAATTTTACAAACTGTTGATCTTCTTCTGAGACATTAGAACTAGAAGTTATGTGTGCGTCTATAAATTCAAGGATATCACTCATTTGGCTAGATCCATATATTGGTGAATTTTTAATCCAAAACAAGCAATGCAAGTGTGGAGAGCCTCGCTGTTGAAACTCCACTCTTATGTAATAGTCCTGTAATTCTCCTAATGGGGAGTTTTTACATTTCAAAATATTGTTTAGAAATATCTGAGTTCTATAGTGAAAGTGTCTGGCACATGTTGTTGGGTGCTTTTGAATCAATTCACATCTCTGCATCCAATTCATTGCAATAGTTTCTTCCACAGAAATGTCCCGTTTATATTCTTTCTTAGCTAAGATACATAGTAAGTCTAACGATTGAGTCTCAGCTGCTGAAAAAGTAGCAAAGAAAGTTGGCAGGCCTAGCTGTCTCAATATTGAAAATAATTCCTTCTGCTTGTTTTGATAATAAGGTGGTGATGACCTTAGAGTCTTTAAAAATGTAAATCCCTGGTCATTTTGAAGTAAACTGTTTATATTTTCAGATGATTTCAATTGTCCAGCTGTATATGAATTATTGTTAGTTTTACGTAAAGCAGTAGTTGTAATGTCTTTGACTTGTAATGTTTGAAGTTTCTTAAGTTTAAAGAAAATATTGGGTACAGATGTTGAAAATCTAGTGTCTGCACTCCTCAACTCTGCCTTGCAGATTGTGCTGAAAGTTACTGGAATTGTTCTCTGATGATTTTCAATTCTTTTTTGTCCAGCAAATAGCACAGGGAATGACTTTTCCTCTGCATATTTGTCAAGGAATAAGCTTAGAGGATGGTTTTTTTCACCAGGTGCAATTTGTAAGGCATGCCTAACATCATCTGTAAAGTCTAAATTTTGTAGTAAAGTGTCCTTGTTCCCTGAACCTGACACTTCTTCATCAGATTGTTCTACCCAGTTATCATCATTTTCATCTGAGATCAATTTATTCTTTTCTTGGTTCTGTTTACTGTGTGGTAAATTATTGCCTTGTGCTCTTTGATTTTTTGCAGACTGCATTTGCACTAATTTCTCATGGCTTTCGATCACTTCAATGTCAGTTTCTGATGCAAAGTTGATGATATTTGTATTTTCTGATGTCCAAGAGGTATCCAATTGTATTGCTTCCTCTTGATATAATGGACTATTTCCAATGAAATATTTAACTAATTCATAAATAACTTTTGGTCTCACAGTTTCATGGAGGATGGAGGATTTGTACTCAAGTTTTCTTTTAAATAACAGATGAATAGTAGCAGTGTCTTCAAATCTTCTAGGAAGCACAGATATAACATCAGACGGATCCATTGGTACATTAACTGTATTGCCATATATCCCAAACTGCTTTCCTACTCCAAGTTCCTTCAGTTGCATGAACGGTATGCGCAATGCTACAGTTCTCTCCTCAGTTTGAGTTGGAGACAAGTGATGTAAGTAGTCTGGTAAAGTGTTGTACTTAAATCCATTGTTGTAGGCCGTGGGTGGCATTTTTTTTTTCCATTATATATTTATGGCATGTTTTGCACACCCATTCACTTTCTGAAACACTTTTAGTTCCTGTAAGAGTTTGATCCAATATTTCTTGTGGAATTCCTTTCTGCATATAATGTTCTTTAGAACAGGCATAAACACTATGCTGGTAAAATGTTTGCATACAACATGAGCAAATGAAATCATCACTTCTTTTGAGCAAGTCTCTAAATATTTAAATTTGGATTTCAATGTCACTTTTCTTTTTTATCCTTGAATGTCTGTTGAGATGTGTTTCTTTTTTGTTCCTGTTATAGGTATGTCGCCATTTTTGTCTACTTGTTTTTTCCTTATCTCTAACTTCAGGTATAACTCGTCTATTTTGACGAGTTTTTCTTCTTTTAGCATTACCCTGATCTCTAACTTCAGGTAAACTGCGTCGTTTTTGACGTGTTATATTACTCCTAGCACTTTCTTGTTCTTTAACTTCAGGTATACTGCGTCGTTTTTGACGTGTTATATTACTCCTAGCACTTTCTTGTTCTTTAACTTCAGGTATACTGCGTCTATCTTTACGAGTTTTTTGTCTTTTAGCATTACCCTGATCTCTAACTTCAGGTATACTGCGTCGTTTTTGACGTGTTATATTACTCCTAGCACTTTCTTGTTCTCTAACTTCAGGTATACTGCGTCTATCTTTACGAGTTTTTTGTCTTTTAGCATTACCCTGATCTTTAACTTCAGGTATACTGCGTCGTTTTTGACGTGTTATATTACTCCTAGCACTTTCTTGTTCTTTAACTTCAGGTATACTGCGTCGTTTTTGACGTGTTATATTACTCCTAGCACTTTCTTGTTCTTTAACTTCAGGTAAACTGCGTCGTTTTTGACGTGTTATATTACTCCTAGCACTTTCTTGTTCTTTAACTTCAGGTATACTGCGTCGTTTTTGACGTGTTATATTACTCCTAGCACTTTCTTGTTCTCTAACTTCAGGTATACTGCGTCTATCTTTACGAGTTTTTTGTCTTTTAGCATTACCCTGATCTCTAACTTCAGGTATACTGCGTCGTTTTTGACGTGTTATATTACTCCTAGCACTTTCTTGTTCTCTAACTTCAGGTATACTGCGTCTATCTTTACGAGTTTTTTGTCTTTTAGCATTACCCTGATCTTTAACTTCAGGTATACTGCGTCGTTTTTGACGTGTTATATTACTCCTAGCACTTTCTTGTTCTTTAACTTCAGGTATACTGCGTCGTTTTTGACGTGTTATATTACTCCTAGCACTTTCTTGTTCTTTAACTTCAGGTAAACTGCGTCGTTTTTGACGTGTTATATTACTCCTAGCACTTTCTTGTTCTTTAACTTCAGGTATACTGCGTCGTTTTTGACGTGTTATATTACTCCTAGCACTTTCTTGTTCTCTAACTTCAGGTATACTGCGTCTATCTTTACGAGTTTTTTGTCTTTTAGCATTACCCTGATCTCTAACTTCAGGTATACTGCGTCGTTTTTGACGTGTTATATTACTCCTAGCACTTTCTTGTTCTTTAACTTCAGGTATACTGCGTCGTTTTTGACGTGTTATATTACTCCTAGCACTTTCTTGTTCTTTAACTTCAGGTATACTGCGTCGTTTTTGACGTGTAATATTACTCCTAGCACTTTCTTGTTCTCTAACTTCAGGTATACTGCGTCTATCTTTACGAGTTTTTTGTCTTTTAGCATTACCCTGATCTCTAACTTCAGGTATTTTGCGTCGTATTTGACGAGTTATATTTCTCCTCACACTTTCTTGTTCTCTAACTTCATGCTTCGTCTATGTGAACGAGTTTCATTCCTTCTAGCTTTTTCCTGATCCTTAACCTCAGTCATGCTTCGTCTATGTGAACGAGTTTCATTCCTTCTTGCATTTTCCTGATCCTTAACCTCAGGTATGTTTCGTCGTTCTTTGCGAGTTAAATCCCTCTTCGCATTTTCTGTCTGTCTATTCTGAGGACACTGCCTTTTTTGTCGTCTAGATAAATTGTTTAGTTCTTGTTGTGTAAGTCCTTGAAGAGAGGCATTTAGATTTTTAGAATGTTTTGGACTGTATAAACTTTTCTTATGGATATTTCTCATGTCTTGATCATTTAAATATTCACAGAACCAATTCAGTTCTTTGGTTCTAGCAGGTTCTGTAGGAATATCTGTAGCAGAAGTGGTCGCAAACAAATTAGTATCCTGAATTTTTCTCTTTTTCTGAAAAGATAAACAAAAAACTCTTGTGATTCATTTAGTTGAGGGAACTGTAATGATAGACAATATATAGTACAACATAATTTTGTATACCCCGTCTATTTTTGTCTTTTTTTTCTTGTCGCATTAATTCTTTTGTTCATTTGTTTTATTAGTTTTTCTCTCTTTTTTTACTGCAGTATCTTTTCTGTCTTTTTGCCAATAAAGGGACCAGAGTAACAGACTATTGGTCATATTGTATTATATATGTTTATTGTGGTATTTTTATATAAATAAAAATTGAGTATTAATACACAGTATAGTGAAATGCAATTCATCCTTGTGATTGCATTGCCTCTTATCAACAACATATTAAGTTACTTCATATCAGGATACAGTCATTTATGGAAATGAGTGTATCCTTAGCTTTGTATGTCATTGTAAACTTTTAACCAATGAGAAGATTGGGTTTTCCTAGTTGCTGCTGTTGAAATCTCGTTCCCTAATTGTGTAGTGAGATTTAGTTAGAGAACCAATCAGAATAGGGCGCTCATTTCAAAATGTCCAATCAGATAGTTAATTAATTACTGTTGGTTCTTTGTTCTAACAATTGCGCGTCTTCATAGGCATTCAAGCTAATTCAGTTGCATGAAGCAGAAGCATTATATTTTTGCAGTTGGAAATTTTTAAATTACGAATTATATATAAAAAATTTCGTTTATGGATAGATCGTTTTTACCATGGATAGTGAAAAATTTGTAAGAACATTTTTACTTATCCCAGAATGGTATTTGTTAACTCCAGAAGAAGTGGAAACAATTAAAACGTATATCGTGGAATCGTCAGCAGATCGTGCTCACGTTTACTGGAGCATTACTTTAGACTGTGCAGCGTGTTGTAATGGATGCTATTTTTGTGGTTTCACAAAGAATTTGTGTAGTGGAAGCGTCAAGGCAGAAAGCAGGTCCGATTAGTCGGGATTTAATGTGAACTTTAAATCTATATTTGGAATTGTTAATACCACGTTTGCTTAAATTCATTTAAAGACTTGCAAAAATGGCGGAAAACGGCGACAGCGACCGCGAAGTGGAGATCTTTAATGACAGTGATCGGGTTAAGTTGTGGGCAGCAACTACGAAATTAAACGATAACACCTCATCGGAGTTATTGAGACATGGATTTGACACTATGGAGGCAATTTCGATGATTGAGTCAGAAGATATGCCAACTTTCAACATCCCGTTAGGCCAGCAAAAAGTTTTGCTTAGAGCGTTGCAGAAAACTTTCAAGACCGGTCGAGACGAAAATGGTGGAAATATTAATGGGGCGTCAATGCGCAACACAAGTGAAATCGGAGGCGGAGTCACCACAAGAGAGATTGGAGGCGGGGTTTACAATAAAGATGGCGACAGTAGTACTTCCGTAAACATCCAAGATGGCGGCAGAAGCACTTCCGTAAACATTCAAGATGGCGGCGTCCATGCGAACATTCCTAGAGCGGACGATACATATATCCAGGAAATTATGAAAATGATGGCAGTGCAAAAGGACAATAATGGACATTCAATCAATGATTTTAATGCTAAATCCTCTCATTCTCAAGGTAGAGACAATAATTTGCTTATCAATGACATTTTTTCATGGAAAGATCCGCAAATATTTTTAAAATCTGCTAGCTTTGATCCTAATGTAAATTATTTTGATATCACTGAATTTTTACCTAATACCTTAGGAGAACTGACAGAGTCAGAAGAAAAATTAGTTTCAGAATCATCAGGTGGCAAACTTGTGTTTAAGTCAGGGCCAGCCAAGCCCAAATTAGAAACTTTAACTGTAACACAATGGTCCATGGCAAATTTGTCCATTATGCATAAGTTGTTAGCTGTAGGGGACCTTGCCTCATCACAAGTTATGGACTATTTGTCATACACCATGCGTGTTTACCTCTTCCTTTCTAGCTGCGAGTTGGTGTCTGTCTTGTTTTTTGATCGGGAATATCGGCGTCTGCAAAAACAACACCAGTTCAGATGGGGTACTGACATTCCACATCTCCATTCTGTGTTTTTGAGGCCAAAGTTTTTGCAGGGTCAGTATTCCCGCACTACACCTCAGACTCAAGGCTCGAAAGGAGTGAGCAATAAGCAACATTTAATCACATATGCTTCTCATGCACCAGGTGGTAAGATGATTTGTAAGAAATTTAATAGTCGCAAGGGCTGCTTTATGTCTCACTGTAAATTTGAACATGTATGTGCTATTCCTGCATGTGCTGATAAACATCCAGCTTTTCAGCATACAAAAAACTAAGAACAATGGTGAAGCCTTCGCGTGTACTTGATCTGTCTGCATGGACAGAAGAACTGGTTGATGACTTTGATAAAGAATTTTTGTTGTTTGGCATTGAACATGGGTTCGACATTGTCATGAATGTTCCCATACCAAAAGATATACGCTCAAAAAATCACCCTTCAGCAAAACCCGGTAGCCCCTTCTATAAACAGGCCCATCAGCAGATCCTAACAGAAATTGAAAATGGAAACTATGTTTTTGTAAATACCCCTCCTAAAATAATTAGTCCGCTTGGAGTGATTCCAAAACCTGACGGTGGAGTTCGAATCATTCATGACTGTAGTAGACCAATGGGTTCTGCAGTGAATGATTTTGCAGGTGAATTTGACAAACAAAGGTTCCAAACAGTAGATGATGCTTGCAAGTTAGTTTCAAAAAATTTTTATATGGCTAAAGTGGACCTAAAGGCTGCATATAGGTCTGTTAGAATAAGTAAACAAAGTCAAAAGGTTACTGGGCTTAAATGGGCATTTCCTGATGGTCATGAATACACATTTATTGATAAAAAACTCCCTTTTGGGTCAAAATTGGCACCAGGCATTTTTCATAGATTGTCCCAAGCTGTTCGAAGAATGATGTCACGCAGAGGTTTCACCATTGTAGCATATTTAGATGATTTCTTTATTTGCGAGAGGACAAAAAAGCGTTGTGCTCAGGCATTAGCAGTATTAATTGCATTGTTGCGAAAATTAGGTTTTTGTATAAGCTGGTCTAAAGTTACAGACCCATGTCAAAAAATTGTATTTTTGGGGGTTGAGATAGATTCTACCACTTTAGAGACTAGGCTGCCTATATCAAAATTAACTGATTTAAAATCAGAACTTGCTGAATTTTTATTGCGTAAGCATGCTTCGAAAAAGCAATTGCAATCCCTGGCGGGGAAGCTTAATTGGGCGTCTGCAGTGGTTCGAGGCGGGAGAGTTTTTCTCCGTAGAATCATAAATGGCATAATGCGCTTAAAGCAGGATTGGCATAAATTGCGTATGTCAGGTGAAATATTACAAGATATAAAATGGTGGCATGACTTTATGAGGACTTTTAATGGGAAGTCCTTTTTCTTGGCAAAGGTTCCTATCACTTCAGTAGTGACTGATGCTTGTAAATCAGGTGCAGGGGGTTTCTACCACAGTGATTGGTTTTATGTTAACTGGGTTGAAGATTACCCCTTTGCAACACAGCTACACATTAATGAGTTAGAGGCGTTTTCGGTGGCGTTGGCAGTAAAGCGATGGGCCCAAAATTGGCGTGGCAAGCGTATTATAGTTTACTGTGATAATGCGGCTACAGTAAGCTGCATCAATAAATGTACATCAAAAAATTCAAGTTTGATGTCATTTTTGCGCGAGTTGTTTTGGTTGTCAGCAACATACAACTTTTATTTAATAGCTAAGCATGTGCCAGGCAAAGAAAATATACTTGCAGATCACATTTCGCGGTTACATGATTTAACTTACTGTGAAAAATTTTTGCGGTTTTATGTTCAACCACCATTGCTTGTACGCGATCTGGTTAAGCACATGTCTAGTAACGCCCTTCGTTTTCTTTTATTTAGGCTCACTGGCATCCAAGGAGATGACAACACTGGATAGTATTGTGGC